TGAAAGTCGTCCCTACCTTCCCCACATCTGCATGCATGCGTCCACGTCACAGCTGATGTCGCGTCGGTCCGACATGTCGAGATCGGCATTACAAGTCTAATAAGAAGCTTTAACACCCCGTGGGACGCTCCGTATTATGGGCTGCACTGCGCTGTCAAGGACCCGCAGCGTATGGTATACGTAGGATCTGGCAAGGCAAGCTGAGACTCATTTTGATCCTCGCAGTGCAGCGCTTCGATCCCGTCCATACGATAAGCGGTCGAGCTTTACGTCGGCTACCGTGGCGCCTGCTGAAGATGAATTATCTCCCTAAACTCGCTCGTCACGATTCTGTGCCTCATCCGTATTAGATCTGGACGATTCTTCATCTGGGATTGATTTATGAAGGGTTTGAGACTGCTGTGCGTCATGTCGTCATGTCGCTGAAATACCCCTCGATCCTTGTTGATGGCTTCTCAAGCTGGGCTTGGCCCGGTGAAGGGTCTCAAGACTCCGCAAGCTTCCGCTTGAACAACCAACCTTCTGCGAAGACGACGGCATCGCTATTACTCTCGGTGGCTTCGATATGCAACGGCGCGCCCACTCAGAGTCGTGCCGCTGCCGGAATAGACCGAGCGAGATGCAATCAACCAGTGGCTGTCGATCCCCAGATCGCCGTTGAAATGGCGTCGGCCAGCGCTTGGCCCGTTTGAGATTGGGGTGTGCAGGTTCGCCATGATGATTCGGTCGCTCAGCATTCAACACTCGCGGAAACTTTCGGTCCAGTACCAATTTGCGCGACCTTAGGTCGTCAATAGGAATTATGATTGGATGAGAGACCCGGCCTTGGTATCGCTGCGGTTCTAGGTGCGGCTTGATCTCGCTGGAATCTAGGCTCAGGCCTAGTCGTGACGCCAATCGGCCGTCCTTGGGGAAGCTGGGGGTGGGTGGCCCGGGGGAAGCCAGCTACGCATCTTGTCTCTAAGGCGATCCGGGGAAAGGTCCAGCTGGTCTGGATGTTGCATCTCTTTACATCTCTGGTGTGAGGCACATCAACATGTGCTTGCTTGCATCAACTTTCCTCTGGCATGAGCTGAGCTCTCCAGTCCTCGCCTTGTATAAAGACCTCAGACCTCCGGCTTGTTGATGCCCTTGTTTCCAGTTTCACCATCAAGTTCACCTCACATCTTAGGGATACTCTCCTCATCTTCGACCGAAGCAACTCTTTACCTTCAATCCATCACACACAACCTCATCTAGTAGTTGACCAACATGGCGACTCAGACCACTTTAAACGTGGCACACGACGATCGCAAACGATCAATCCACGTCGACGCCGAGGCCTTGCGTCGTATGTCCATCAACAATCCCAATCTTGAGACCCTCAGCCATGAAGCTCAAAACGCAACCAACGCCGAACACGAGCTGGGACTCCGTCAGTCCTTGAAGCTGTATCCGAAGGCTATTGCCTGGTCCATATTCCTATCGACATGTGTGGTCATGGAAGGCTTTGACATCACGCTCATCACGGGCCTTTTCGCGTACCCTGCCTTCCAGCGAAAGTTTGGTGTTGAACAGCCAAACGGCTCGTTTGAACTGACGGCGGCCTGGCAGTCCGGCTTGACAAACGGCATGCTTGTGGGTCAGATTCTTGGTCTCTTCATCAACGGTATCGTTGCTGAGCGCCTCGGATACCGCTACACACTCGTCGGCTCCCTCGGCTTGGTAGCCGCCTTCATTTTCATCATCTTCTTCGCCGAGACTCTTGTTCAGCTCCTAATTGGCGAGATCCTCATTGGCGTGCCTTGGGGTGCATTCCAGACCCTGACCGTCACCTACGCCTCGGAGGTCTGCCCTATCCATCTGCGCGCTTATCTGACGACATATGTCAACCTCTGCTGGGTGATCGGTCAGTTCATTGCCAGTGGTGTCCTACGCGCCATGGTTGAACGCGACGACAAGTGGGGTTACAAGATCCCTTTCGCCTTGCAGTGGATTTGGCCTGTCCCTTTGGCTATTGGCATCTGGTACGCCCCCGAATCGCCGTGGTGGCTCGTCCGTAAGGGTCGTCTCGAGGATGTAAAGCGTTCTGTTCTTCGACTTACGAGCCGTAACGCTAATCCCGATTTCAACGCCGATGAGAGCGTGTCCATGATGGTTCACACCAATGAGCTCGAGAAGGCAGTCTCCGAGGGCACGTCCTATCTCGACTGCTTCAAGGGCATCGACCTGAGGAGAACCGAGATTGTATGCGCCTCATGGGGTGTACAAACGCTTTGCGGCAGTACATTCATGGGATACTCGACATACTTCTACCAACAGGCCGGTCTTGCTGTTGAGGCTTCGTTCAGCATGTCCCTTGGTCAGTACGCCCTCGGCGCCGTTGGCACCCTTTCGTCATGGTTTCTCATGAGGTGGTTTGGACGTCGCACACTATACCTCAGTGGGCAACTGATCATGCTCGTTCTACTCATGACCATCGGTTTCGCCTCTCTCGCCTCGCGAGACAACGCATCGGCCCAATGGGCCATCGGCAGCCTGCTCCTGGTCTATACCCTGACGTATAACTGCACCGTTGGCCCCATCTGCTATTCTCTTGTTTCAGAGCTGTCGTCTACACGACTCAAGACAAAGACGGTTGTGCTCGCGAGGAATGCCTACAACATCCTGGGCATCACGACCAATGTGCTCACCCCCCGCATGTTGAACCCATCGGCGTGGAACTGGGGTGCCAAGGCTGGCTTCTTCTGGGCCGGCACCTGTGCACTTTGCTTCATTTGGACATACTTCCGACTGCCAGAGCCCAAGGGCCGAACCTATGGCGAGTTGGATATTCTCTTTGAGCAGAGGATTTCGGCTCGCAAATTCAAGAGCACAAAGGTTGAAGAACTCGAGACGAGGAATATGCACGTGTCAGAGAAGGAAGCCGACCTTGAGGCGGTTGAGGTGGAAAGGGTGGCTTCTGTTTGAGGAGCTGATCGGCAGAGGATAGTCTGACATGGAGTTGTCCGGCAGGAGACCACAAGACCGCTTGATAGAGTTAAAACCATAAAAGCGAATACAGGACATGCATGATGCGTCGTAGATACAGAGCCCAAATGGCGACATGAGTGCCCAGCTCGGTGCTTGTCTCAAGAACATAATGTTCCCTGTGAGTTAGGCCTGAGGTGTGGCCCCCTCTCCCATAACCCTTGGCTCAAGCGTGACCAAACAGCAGGCACGCGCATCACCCTCGAGATACTTTACGCATGCTGCAGGATTTCCTCAATACTTCAAAGATCGTCGCTGACAAGGAATTTGCACTTTCTCGTCGGCATCACATGCGTTCGACTTGAATCCTCCAGCGAAGCCATCACGAGAGGGGGGGGGGCTACGCCTTTCTCCGCATTTCTTCAACGGCCAGATGTTACCCTCCATCTTCTTTTCGACTGCCGAGTCCGGGGCACCCAGTCACTTTGTCCCTTGACCTCACAAAACTGGTCACAACAACAACCTTCCCCTCACTTTGCCGCAAAATCACATTGGCGAATACGACTTAGAACGGACTCACTTCTGTAAAAGGCCAAACCTGCACAGCAGCACTACATCACGTCTGAGCCATTCACCTGTGCGGTGGGATCTCGAGTCCGGGAACTCGGCCGTGGTGGCGGCGGAGATGTTACTCTGTGGCCAGGACAATAGGTTAGACACACGGCGTTCTCCCGCTTCGGGCTGGGCTCGTCCACGGCGGCGACGATCAAAGCGCGCCTGCATGCTGACTCTCACTTGCGGCCGAGTAGGATCAATACTATGCGAGGTGCCATACACAGGGATGATGGAATCATGACATCTCTTTTTGCCTCTGTTGCCATCCGAGGCAGCACGTGGAATCGAGTTCGACCAGAGATGCCAAAGATGTGGTTGGAGAGTAGAGATTCTTTGAGGTACCCTAGGTTCTGACCTGAGTATAAATAAAGGCAAGCCATGGTACCAGCAGCACAACAAACCATCAGCAGCATCATCTTCACACTCAGTTGACAAACTCACAAAAGAAACTCTCCCAAAGACACTTCTCACCGCCAATATGCGCTTTTCCTCAATCTTCGTCCCCGTTGCCACCCTTGCAGGCCTCATCACCCAGGTCTCGGCCCAGCTCGCGCCCATCCAGGCCGCCCTGGTGGTCATTGAAGACAGCGTTGACGCCTACGGCGCCGCGTTCACCGCCGGCACGGCGGCCGGCATCCAGTCAGCCGACGATGACCTCCTGGCCTCCATCGACGCTGCCATCCCCGTCGTCAACGCGAGCCCCAACCTCAGCCTCTTCGACGCCATCAGCCTCGCCACATCCATTCGCTCCGTCCAGACCGCTGTCGATGCTGCCTTTGACATTGCCACAGCCCAGAAGCCCGCCGTCGACGCCCTCGGCATCACGGCAGACGTTCTTGCCGGCATCCAGGCCCAGCGTGCTGCTGTCGCGACCCTCGGCGCCGCTCTCGTCTCCAAGGTCCCAAGCATTGTCCAGGGCACTGCCCAAGTCTACGTCAACGACATCCTAGCTATTCTCGATAACGCTATTGCCATCTACTCTGCCTAGGTAGTTCGCTTTGCCTGATCAGCCAGTGCAATTCTGGGACTCAGGTTCAAGGGGTGTACTGGCCTCAGCCAGGCTGATTGGTTGAGTTTAAGACTCCTCTGGTCTCCAGTGGTATCACTGATTTCGATGGGTTTTGTTACTTTTGCGTGCTGTGCTATAACACCAGACAATTGTCAATACAAACAAACAAACAAATTTTGGGCATGCTATTTCCACAAAGCGTTCTTGAACCGTGGGTATCTCAAAAGTCGGCGCTATATCCTGGAAGTCCAGCGTAATTCCCAAACAGCCCCCCACCCTAGTCGCCGGATGGCCCAGTCTCCAATACCCCATGCTTTGATATGTCCGTGTGTAGCTCGAGCTATGGAGGAGCGGGGGTTTGTGCCACTATAACGGCAGACTCCAGTAATACCTACAGTCATACTGCTGTTTCCGCTCCACGTAATCATCAGACCCCATCATGCTCAACTGACGTTTTCAAAGGCACGATGCCAATGTCGCGCTTGAACCTGTCCAGCCACTCCGGGTTGTCCGCAGCAGTAATATTCCAGGGGTCGCCACTGGTCCATGTCAGTACCTTCTGTTACGCTAGACTCTTCGAAGTGCCAGACAGGGAAGGGGCTCCATCGCAACTTACTCCTCATAGAGCAACAAGCGAGCCTGATGTTGGATCTCTCCATCGGACGGGATGTGCCCTGCGGGGTTCTCAGGCGACATTGTAGCTGTGGCCCAGCGTTTTAGCTCAACATCGAACCACCGGTGATAGTTTGCGTCGTTGAGAACATAGAATCCAAGGTCCAGGATCGAGTGCTGCATATCGGATGTCGGGCAGTTCATATCTTGAACATCACTGTGGCTGGCATTTGATGCCATTGGGTAGTTCGAGACCATGGCGCCAATGTTTGGTATCTGCAGGGATTCATCATGATTCTGGGTCCCTAAATTGGGTTCAGCCCCATCAAGGTTTATCATCAAGGGGCGAATGCCGGTAGTGGGATCGGTCTGGCCCTGAACTGGCGCCCAGTTCACGTCCATCGGAGCAGACTGAGATGTCGCGCTCGGTAATGGCTGCGATGTGTGTAATGTTGCCATCGGCACCTTGTTCCGATGCTTGAACGAACCAATCCAGTCGGTCGAAGTCGTGACCATCTTGGCAAACCAATTTGTGACAAAGTCGGGCGTCTTCGTCTCCATCTGCTCTTCTGCCATCGCGATGATCCTGTACGCCTCAGCCTGCAAGTCGCTATCCTCAGGCACCAGTGCCTGTGTTCTCCAGGACCGTTGGACAAAGTCCGTCAGCTGCTCTTCCAAGGGGCATGATTCGAATAGCGTGCTCTTGCCGTTGATGCGCAGGATGGCAAGCCTGCTCTCGGCCTGCGATAGCAACGGGCCGAACCTGGCTTGCTTCGCTACCTCGTCATCGAAAGTGATGAGATCTCTCAGCCACGATGTTGCTTCGAGTCCCTGGCAGCCCAGACTTGCGGTCAGAGCTTCCGAGGCAAAAATGACTCGACAGGCCTGCAGGCGCAGATCGTGGTTGGAGGGTAAGTCTTTGCGCTGGTCAAAGTGCCGATGTAGGAAGAAGGCAAGTTCGAGACTGATCAGCTCGTACGCGCTTCTAGGAGAGCTTGGTGCTCGTCCGCTTGCCATGAATGGGAACAGGGACTTGCGGTCGTAGTCAATGACATCTGGTTTAGTCAGTACACAACAAGCCTCGACCGCCGAGTTTTCGCAGCAAGACGGGAAAGGCCTCACATGGCGGCATATAACTCTCAACAGTAGCCAGAATGTGCTTTTCGAAGCCCCAATCACCGGACCAATTTGCCATGGTGTGTCCGAGTTTGAAATGGTCAGCCAGGTGGTGTTCTCGGTCTCGCCAGGTCTCTAGGGTGATGTCACAAAATCCACATCGGGAGCGGATCTTGAGACTGGGGGCTTTCCAGGCCTCTATGACCCATGCTACTCCCTCCACGTCGTGGACCAGCCGCAGGTGTTGTTTTAGATGGTCTTTACGATTGAAGGTCTTCTGCTGGCAGGTGTCAGGGTTGTGAGTGGCGAGATGCTCGCTCGTCGGTTCCGGCCGCCCACAGTACACACAGCATGGCTCGCCTGTGCTAGGATCGACTTCGATAGGCCCGCGAGGACTGCACAACCATCTCTCAATGGGAAGGTGAAGGGACTTTTCGTGTCTCGACCAGTCGTATTTTGTCCCGAACGTTTCAGTGCAAAAGGTGCACTGAAACCGACCGTCGGGCAGGAACAGTGACGTTTTGACAGCGTCGCGGCCAGGTCGCCTCCGTCTGGACCTTCGGCGGCCCCGGATGGCCTTCGTATTGAAGCTAGCGGAGCTATGAGAGCTACCGGACCTGTTCATAGACGAACTACGGCTGCCGGCTGAAGTGTCGTCGTGTGCCGGCGGTGCTGAGGCGTCGTCGAAGCTGGAATCGCCAGAGCCATCGAATTCCCCTGAAGACATTGAGTACGTTCCATTCTGTCGGCAGCTATCGATGCTGGGAGACTAAAGTACGTACCTCGGCGCAGAAATGTCTGGTTTCTCGAGGCCATTGCTCGCGCAATGTCTCTGGCAAGGGCTGGCTCATCTTCCGGAGGCGAGTCGACCCAACGCTCCATTGGGCTCATGTCTCGCGCTGCTCTGCCTCCGTGAGGTGTGGGTATGGGCGTAGCAGGTCTCTGAGGAGTTCGCGTACCGTCGCCAGGAGACCTCCAGACGGATGACGAAGAGCTCTCCGGCAACCTGCGTCGCCGACGCGCGTTGGCGAACCATGTCTTGATTTGGACCTTGGACAGGCCGGTAAAACGCTGCAGCATCTCATTGTCCTCTCGATTCGGAAACGGATGGTCCTTGTGGGTGTCCAGCCATTGCCGCAAGACGCGGGCGGATTCCGTTGAGAATCTCGTGCCGACTTTAGGCGGCATGGAGGGCGCTGACGGCGCGACAGACTCGGATACGGAACCGTTGCTGCTACAGGAGCTTCGTGCGGTGTAGGTGGACGAAGCGGCTGTAGAATCTTGCTTGGGCCTGATAACGGCTGGGCGCATGTTGCCGAGGCTGTCTCCCAGCGAGGTCAGAACCCCGGGATCGGTGCTCGAGGGGTCATGAACATTGCTTCTGCCTTCGAGCGACAGGTTCGTATCGTGAGGATAGACATACGCACCCACCGTGGACACGGAGTCGGCGGGCTCGTTGCGGTGGTCAACGCCCCCCAGAGTCGTTGTGTCCATTGTCCCGCTCGTCAATATCGAATGTCGATATTTTCGGACGAGGGCAGGTCGTTCGATGTCGAGGGATCGCTCGCGGTTGTCGATTGTGAAAGCATTCGCCAAAGTCATGACTCGAAGTTCCTTGGTGGTTCGGTTCTCGCCAGCCAGTCATGATGCAGCCTGCGTTGTCGAACACGCCTTTTTTGGCCTGACGGGTTGGAGTCCACAGCTCCTTGGCAGAATGCGGCGATGCTGCTTACAGCCGCGGTGGGTGATGCTGCTAACAGCGCCTGTTGTGGAACTCGTCCCTCCAGCAAGGCGTGGTTGACTAACCCTAACCCTAAGCAAGGCGTGGTTGACTACATTCGCCTCAGCGCTCGAGGGCTTCATCCTCACTTTCGCGGTCGTGGACTGAGTTTTGCTCCCGCTGCAATGCTTCATCGGTTTCCATCTCACGCTGGTATTTTCTACCATGTCGAATTCGAAGCAGAACAGAGCGCTGGAAGTCCCCCTTTGCGCAGCAGGTGTAGCACCAAGCACCGGCGATGTGGAGGCTGCACGCGACGACGACTTCGACACCACCACCGACCATTTAGACGATGGGGTCGCCGACCTCGGGAGGTTGCCATGGGTTTGCGTCGCGGGATCAGGCATGTTCTTGATCTGCACTTATGGTGAGTGGGCATCTCCGAAGACCACCTCGATGCATTGTGTGCTGACGGACAACAGGATTCATGCAAGCCATTGGCACCATCCAGTCGTACTTGCAGCTGAACCAGCTCAACAACTACACGACCCGAGACGTCGGGTGGATCATCGGTGTCTACACATCGCTGAGCCTGCTTCTCGTGTTGGTTATGGGCCCCGTCATGGATCACTACGGACCGGGTCTCATGGCGCCCGCGGCAGCTGTGCTCAATATCGCCATGTTCTTCCTCTTGGCCGAGTGCGAGCAGTACTGGCAGTTCATGCTCGTCCTGGGTCTCCTCGGCGGCATCGGCGCCGCCGCCACCGCGACCGTCGCAGTCTCGACAATCAGCAAATTGTTTACCCATCGACACGGAGCCGCAATGGGCTGCGCCTTTTCCGCGTCGTGCATCGGAGGCGTCTTCTTCCCCCTGATCCTGCCGAAAATCTTCCCGTCATGGGGCTGGGTCTGGTCGATCCGAACCCTGGCCTTCATCGTCACAGGTCTCATGGTGACCGGCTGCCTGTGCCTGCTCCCAGCGGCCACACTCATCCGCCAGGCAGAGGCAAGCTCGGTCGCGGGGAAGAAGGCAACGTCGGTCCTCCCCAACTTCAAGCCGTTCCGGTCTCTCCCGTTCAGCTTCACCGCCATTGGCTTCTTCCTTCTCGAGTTTGCCATGTTTGGCATCAACGGGCTGCTTCCCACCTTTGCCATCCGGGCCGGGTTCGCGGAGAATGCCGGCTACACCTTGATCGCTCTGACCAACGGCTTCTCGCTGCTGGGGCGTCTGCTGCCCGGCATCGTGGCGGATTACATTGGCGCCTTCAACGTCCTCCTCATCATGGTTCCCTTTACCTCCATCTTCACGGCGGCGCTGTTCATTCCGCTCACCAACAGCGCCGTCGGGCCATTCTACGCCTTTGCCTGCTTCTGGGGCTTCGGGTCGGGCTCCTGGATCTCCATCATCCCTTGTAAGTGTCGATGCGCAGACCCCAAGAACCTGACCGCCCTGTTAACAGCTCGGCAGTGTGCATAGCCAAGACTTGTTCTCCGGCACATTTTGGAAGATACTATGGTCAGTTCACGACTCCTCTACTCCCAACACGCATCTGACCACAAACAGGCACGGCCATGTCAATGGTCAGCATCGCCGCTTTGACAAGCATCTCCGCCGCAGGTCAGGTTCTGGAGACTTTCGGCCACAAGGCAGCGTCCGGCCTTTTCCTGGCTGTGGTTGTGCTTGGTGGCATCAGCATGCACATTGCCAAGTCGATGCTGGTGGGAAGCTTCGTCAAGGTAACAGCGAGGCTCTAGCATGGGAGACCCATTGAGCATAGACAAACATAGACAGTAGAATAAAAGTGTCGCGACTGCCCATTCACAGAACCAACGTGACGTCCCGAGCCCTATATTTCTGTAAGAGCGACACAGACGTCTCCCGCATCAATACACTCCTCAGCTTAGAAGCCCGTCACCTCGGCGAAGCTTGAGGATAAATTAAATGGAGACTCCGTCCCCTGTGGCTCGGATATGCCCAGGGCGTGCCTGATGTGTAGATCATGGAGAGCAGCCCTGTGACGGATATTGATATTGCCACAAGCACGCTGACGGTGCCTGCAGGACGGGAAATGCATTAATGCACTGGAGTCGAAGGTCTTTCGGAGCCATGGAGGTGGAACCAAGCTCCGATCTGGAGCAATACGCTGTGCCTGTGTCGGTTATGAAGGGAGCATAGTTCATGTCAAGAGCTGCGTGCCAAACTGCACTGGACCATGCCAGTTACAAGTTCGCACCATTCCAAAGAAGAATCTTCGACATCAAAGCAGGCGAAAGCCTCTATTGTTTAGCCGACGTTGGCTTACCGTGTTGAGAAATAAAGCAGCTGAGGGCTTCAACCTTACGTTTTCACACCATGGTGTGGGAGGTAGCCCAGGTTATTGTTCACAAGTGACGCTCAGATAGCTTTCTTATGAGCACGAGTTTCTCATTAATAGCAAGCACTATGGTCTCGAAAAAGAAGCTCAAGGCCATCGGTATAGAGCTCTTTAGGCTTAAGCTTCAATGTCGTGTCCCCGTGAGGAAGCAAAGGAGCATATCGGCTAGAAACCCATCTCCAAAAGTCATCGCCATCGGAAAGAGTCTCTCAAAGAACAGCAAAAACACCACCCACGACACCGATCACGAGCGCCCCCGCAGCAGCAAGCCCAACCTTCCCAGCAGCATCATTCGACTGGCCGCCGCCGCCATTGTTGCTTCCGCTGCTGCTCCCATCCCCCGCATCACCCCCTGAAGCCCCCGTAGCCTCGGCATCCGTGGCAAGGGCAATGGTCCCCGTGCAGGGCCCCGCAGAGCTCGAGTAATCGGCCGGGCACTTTTCGAGGGCGCTGGCCAGGTCGTTCTTGTTGTCGCTGTACCACTGCAAGACGTCACTCTGGTAGGACGACCAGTCGTCGGCGAGGCTACCAGGGACGAGGGTCTGCCAGGCGCAGGCGTCCGTCATGACGCCCGTGGCTGTCATGTAGTAGTCCGTGATGATGTCCTGGATCTCGGGTGGGGGCAGGGGCGCGTCAGCGGCGACTTCGAGGAGGGCTCCGATGCAGTCGCCCGAGTCGCCGAGGACCGAAGTGTCTGTCTGACGGGGTAGAAGGGGGAGGTGAGCGACGGCCGTTGCTGTGGCCGCGAGGAGGCCGAAGACCAGTGTGTAGGAAAGCATGGTGAGGAGGAGTGACGCTACGTGGGAGAGAGTGGCTTGTCTCAGGAGGTTTCTTTGCTGCTGCTTTTGCACGTCAACATAAGTAGCACGATAATTTCTCAACGGCGTTATATATTTGTCGCAGTCCCAATCTCCAACTCAGTGTCCGAGGTCGCTTCAAGCCTGTCTGCCTGTGGCTGATGAGTTCGGTCCCATATTATCCCGTGGATGCTGTTCCTGGACAAAAGCAATCCAGGTAGGCTTTCTCATATCAGCTCTACGCTGTATTTCAAAATTCAGCTGTGGAAATTAAAGGCTGGCGATCCATGTTCGCACGATACTGTTGGTCTGCCAAGCCATCAGCGCGATACTCCTGTGGAGTCCAGATGTGGCAGGGATGACAAGTCAGGGACTGCGTGTGACACCGCGATAACAGACAGGCGGCCCATTCAGTAGACTCAAATCTGCACATGTCCAAAGAAACACACGGCTGAAAACTTGTGGCTTTCTAAGGTTCTCGTCGTTGATCATATGCCGAACCGGCGCAACCGCCACCACCAGTAATAAGGTTTTCAAGACGGAGCTATGACACGGGCAGTCTAACCCAAAGGGAAGTAACCATTTTCTCCTTACCAAGAGCAGAGTCGTTATTACAAGTGGTAGGCAGAACAATCACAGCAGCGAGTTCAGCCGCAGTACAGGCGGTTGAATGACTTGTTAGGGCTGAAGCTTGGCTGTTGATGCAGCCCTATGGTTGGCGCCGTGCTTGGACATGGGGGCGATGCACCGCCATGGCGGCATGCACGTAGTCGGAAATGTGACAGCCGCGGGACTGCTGCTTATGAGACATGAAATGATAAGTAATAGCCACGATGGTGCCGATGCCAGCCTTATTAGCGTTGCCAGAGAAGAAAAGATGCCGGGGTTAGGTTGTCAACGAATCAGTACTGGACTCATTGCGCTGACCCTGACCCAAGGCGGCCAACATGTTGAGCAGAAACGGCGAAAACGCCTCCGTCTCAACTTCGAACCCCTGATGGTGTCCGGGAACGTCCCAACGCAGGCACTCCAACACGTCTGCCAGCGCATAGGTAGCCCTCGCAAAGAAGGCGTTGCCGCTCCTCTCGCCCCTCATGATGCCGATGCTCGTGGCGTTTTTCTTGATGCGATGCAGGTTCGGCAGATACGAGGTGATGACAATAAACTCATTGTTCCAAAAGTTGGCCACATTGTGGCGCGGAGGGGGCACCGTCTTGGGTACGCCCTCAGCGTCGTACCCGTTGGCACCAAAGTATACATCCCACTTGGCACTGGCAGCTTCCCAGCCCTCTTCCTCCTTGAGGCGGTAGAAGTCCATGGCCCACTCCCAAATCTCGTTAGCATCCGGCATGATCAGGGCCGTGGCAGTTTCGTGGATGATGAGGTGTTCTACTCGCTCGGGGAAGTCGTGTGCGAACTGCAAACCGATGAGACCTCCCAGGGAGCTGCCGAAAATGGTGGACTTTTCGTGGCCAAGCGCCTGCATGACAGCCAATAGGTCGCGAGCCTGCTGGGGCGGGCTGATGAGACGGGGGTTGGGAGACTGGCTGGCAGACATCTGGCGACGGTCGTACGTGGCACACGTAAAACGGTTGGATAGGGCGGCCATGATGTTGTTGAACTGCCGGCCGTGACCGTTGCCGCCAGCTACGAAGACGAGCAGGGGACCGGAGCCTAGGTACCAGTAGTGGATGTCACAGTCCTCCGTGTTGACGGTGGCATAAGTGGGATTGAAGGTCATGGTGGCGGCGATTCGACTATCCCGAAGATGTTGAAGTGGAAGAAGTGATAACTTGGGCCCGGACGATGATGCTTTGGCGCCTGAGATGGCCGATGAAGGAGAACAGCTTTGCCCAGCGTGCTCGTCTTTTATGGCACCTAGGCAGGCGGGGTTGTGGTGGAAGGACTGACGGATGGCCGACCGATGACCCGGTCAGCAGGTTGTTATCAGGCCATGCGATGCGCGGATTGAAATGATAGTCTGCGTGGTACTTTCGAAGACTGGTTCTCGCAGTTCCAAAGTAGCTGCAGGCAGCCATCTGTGTCGATCATTTGTCTGGGGAATACAACGCTGTGCTGACGAAGACGGGGAGAAGTGAAGTGGCGTTTCGGTTCGGGGCCGAATCGGCAGGTCAGGAAGAACGTTGCACGAGTCCACGAGCCATCTTACCATTTATCTCTGGCGAAGAGATCGTGCGGCGACGTCATCCATCGGCCTTGGGAAAAGCGGTTGTACACCTAGGTAGACAGACGTTTCTCATGAGCCTCCTCAGACTCAGAAGAGGTAGTTGGGGTAGAGAGGGAGGTGTAGTGTAGATGGCGGGCTTGTCTTCTCACGTCAGCCACGTGTGGTGACTGCCCTGTGATAAATGACCAGAAAGCTCACCCAATACCTACCTAAGGTACCTTAGGTAGGCTGGGACATGGTGCCGGCGATGGTTGCTGGCAGGCGAGTTCCTTCCAAACGAAGAAGGCAGTAGCGGGAATAGGGGAAGAACGAGGGAGAATAATTGACTCATGGCTGCCCCGAGATGCCGGGTCTTCTTTCCCAGGTCTGGGGTCGAGACGCTGCGGGAAGTTCCATCCCAGCAGCAGGTGCCCCCCTGTTAGGTAGCCTGGCAAGCCTGGCCATGGACAGAAGGGGCGTCTAACGAGATCCCCCACATGATCTCTTCCATCTTTCTCACGCAAATCTATCACGACGCCTTCACGTCCGAATTGCCGTGGACAGATTCAACTGGTGGCTGAAACCCAGAGAGATTGCGAAAATGGCAAAAGCCTGGTTCGAATGTTCGGGAAGACACACCCTGCCCGTCATGGAGCACCGCACCACGACCAGCGCTAAATAGGAGCAATCATGTCCATCACGACTACATCCCAGTGCCACAGACAATCGAACCCTCGCTGGCTCCATAGAACCATGCCCAACGCACCTAACGGCACCGACAACCATGGCAGGGTGGCCATCATCACGGGTGGCGCTTCTGGCATGGGCCTTGCCGTAACGCAGCGTCTCTCCGCCCAAGGCTGGGTCGTCGCCATTCTCGACTTCAACGAAAAGGCTGGCCAAGAAGCCGCCTCTTCAATCCCGAACACGGTATTTCTCCAGACAGACGTCTCATCATGGGCCTCTCTTGCGAAGGCGTTCGACGACACCTTTGAGCGCTTAGGCACGATTCACTTCGTTTTTGCCAATGCCGGCATTGTGGAGCACGCCAATTTCTACGCTGTCCACGACACGACCAAGAGTCGCATTCCGCCCGAGCCAGACCAACGAGTTGTCGATATCAACCTCAAGTCCGTCATCAACACGACCTATCTTGCCCAGCACTACTTTCGCCTGAGTCCCCATGGCGGCAGCGACGGTGTGCTCGTCATGACGGGCAGCACTGGGTCGCTCTACCCTGCCGAGTTTTGTGCCATGTACGCCGCCGCCAAGGCTGGCGTGCTGAACTTGATGCGGTCCGTCGCCGTTTCTTTCCACCAAGTTGACGGCATCCGCACCTACACCATCTGCCCCGGGACAGTGCGGACGAACCTTTTGTCGGCCGAGCGTTGGGGCGCATTTCCTGCAGCCTACTTCACCGCCGTCGAGACGGTGGCTGCCAGAGTCTGCATGTTGGTTACGGGCGGTGCCATGACCGACTCCAGCGGGAGGACCATTCCAGCCGGCGAAGACTTGGCCTGGCTTGTGAGATTGCGGGCGACGAGTTCTACTGGCGCGACCCTGTGTCTTATTGCAACGAAGCGACGGCCAAAATGATGGAGGCCACGAGCATGCGTTTGCAATTGGCAAGCATGGATGCGACTGCGGAATGAGCCTGAAGCTAGATCGTCAGGGCCGGAAGCGTCGGGCGGCGGCTCGATCCGACCATGACATCACAGCTACCGAACGCGACCTCCACCGCGTCATGGGAGCTTGACTTTGCTCCGACTCGACGGACCTGTTTTGACGTGCAATTCTTTCCTTCTTGCACAGCTTCATTGCCCGAATCACCATTCAATCGACCAACAGCACCTACTTGATTAAGGAAAAAAAAGATTAAAAAAAAAAAAAGAACAAAACGTCGTCCCTCCAACCAAAACATGTCCGCCAACTCGCTCGCCGCCCTGCGCAAGTCGCCCCAGAGCGCGGAGCTCGCAGAACTCGCCGAGAAGCACCTTGAGCATGACCTGAAGCCCCAGGACCGCGACGCCCTCAAATCAGCGGCAGCGAAGGTCAGCTTCCATGCGACGGTCGGCTCGCTCGTGGGTCTCGGCCTCGGTGTCTTCATGGCCTACCGTCTGCGCCGCGCCCGCGCCGACATGTTCACGGCCTTCCGCGCTGCTGAAAAGCCGACCCATGTCCAGTTTGCCGACGGCCGAACAGGTAGGCTCTTCGCCGTCTGCACATGTTTCGGAGCCAAATGACTGACAATATCAGAACCCATCCCCAACATTGCGCCCTTCCTGAAACCGTCGACCGCGGGCGACATCGCGACGTATGGTCTCCTCGGTCTCGGCAGCCTGTTCCTCGGTGGCGAGACGGGCTTTCTGATAGGCTCATGGTCGGCGACGAGGGCCATTTCGCGCGACGCCGAGAGCAGACAGCGCATCGAGACGGCGTTCCGTCGGTTCAGGGCCGATGTGCTGCGCAAGCAGGCCGATCAGCTCGACGGCGGATCCAAGATTACCGATTTCCTATCTTTCTGAGGGATTTGGGGGTGGCTGGGTAGTCCATGTAACTGCTAGCATGATTTCTATGAAGCGTCGTTTCCTTAACCTCTGCTCGCGTGTTGGCCAGGACAGACATGGCATCCTGGTTTGTTGAATGGATATACTGTTTATCCAGGTTTGGGGACACATGATGTGTGTTGGCGGATCATAACGAAACTCAAGGAAAGCCAGGACTTCCTCGTCGTTGCAATTCTCGACGCGCCCTACCAGACGTCGACCCCCTTCATCGTGCCCTCCTCTCGCCACGACCTGATCTCTCGCGCGTAAGCGTTCATTCCGAGTGCATACGGCGCCCCCCTAGCAATCTTCATGTGCGACGCCGGGTCCGCCCCCAGTGAGCCCTCGTTGTTATTGATGTTAGGCGCGCAGATACCCGCGCCCGCGAACCACGCCGCCCGCTGCATGAGCCTGCCGGCCCATGCCTCCTCGGCCTCGACCGTCGCCTCGACAACGACGCGGTCCGCAGCCAGCCCGCGCGCGGCGGCCCGACGGACGGCCTCGCCGAGGATGTAGCCGCAGTGCTCGGCCAGCACGTTTTGCACGTGGCTAAAGTTGGCCGACGCGCCCGTCTGCATGGGGCCCGAGAGGAAGAGGTTCGGGAACCCGTTCGTCAGCACGCCGTGCAGCGTCGACGGGCCCTGGGCCTCCCACTTTTCGGCGAGCAGGCGGCCGTCGCGGCCGCGGATCGTCATGTTGGATGCCGTGCCGGGCTCGCCGAGGCCGACGACCGGCGAGCGGAAGCCTGTGCTGAGGACGAGGATGTCGAGGGGGTATTCTTTGCCAGCCGCGACGAGGCCCGTCGCCGTCGCCTTTTCGACGCCCCGGCCGTCCGTGTCGACGAGGTGCACGTTGGGCCGGTTGAAGGTCGCGAGGTAGTTGTCGCTGAAGGTCGGCCGCTTGCACCACGTCGGGTACCACGCCTTGAGCGCCGCGGCCGTCGCCTTGTCCTCGACCACGTCGTCAACGTGCCTACGAATAGCGTCGGTGCGCGGCGCGTCGAGCGCGAGCAGCGCCCCGATGTGCGCCGGCACGTCCTCCATCGCGAGCGGCGCGTCGTGCGCCCCGCCGATGAGCGCCCTGTACGTCTTGGCCTGCGTCCACCCATCCCGGATCGTGTCCTCGACGCCCGGCTCGCCCGCCATGACGGCGCAGTACGTCTCTATGCGCCGCTTCTGCCAGCCGGGCTCGCCAGCCGTCATGGCCTTCCAGTCCTCGGCCCGCGTCTCGCGCTGGTGCTTCGGCGTCACCCCCGACGGCGTGCGCTGGAACACGTACAGCTCGCCCGCGTACTTGGCCAGCTCGGGGATCACCTGAACGGCCGTCGCGCCCGTGCCGACAATGCCGACCCTCTTGCCGCGCAGCTTGGTCAGCTGCTGGTCGCGCGGCGTACCGCCCGTGATGCCGTAGTCGAAGCGCGCCGTGTGTGTTGCCGGGCCCTCAAACCCCTGTAGGGTGCGCGGTACCTTGGGGTGGTTGAGCACGCCGTTGGCGACAACGACAAACTGTGCTCGCACCTTCATCTCCACGTCGGCCTGGCCCGGCCCCCGACCCTGTCGGATCTTGGTGATCCACCGCACGGCGTCGGCGTCCCAGTCGTAGCTTCGCACCGTCGACCGGAACACGCCCTTGTCGCGGAGGTCCCACTTGTCCGCCAGCACGCCGGCGTAGTCGAGCAGCTCGGGCCCGTACGAGAAGCGGTGCTTGGGCACGTATCCCGTCTCCTCGAGAAGCGGCATGTACGTGTACCCCTCCGTGTCGCACTGGAGGCCGGGGAATCGATTCCAGTACCACGTGCCGCCGAAGCCGCCGGCCGCGTCCACGAGACGAATGTCAGACGGCGAAATGCCCTGCTGGATGAAGTGGATTGCGTAGAGGAGGCCGCCGTAGCCCGCACCGAGGATGAGAACCTTGATGTCATCGCCGTTGCGCAGGGATGGGGGCTCGGCATTGAGCGCGTCATGGTCGACCCAAGGGTCTGAAGCGAGGGATTGGAGCCGACCCGAGTTGGTGAGCTCGACGTACTGCTCGACGCCCTCAGGGTGGAGCCGCTTTGCCTTTTCCTGCGCGTAACGGGCTTGCACGGCGGCGAAGTCGAGGCCCGTCTCGGCGTTGGGCTGCGCCTCCGGTTCAATGGCGTCACCCATGATATCCTGTCGACTCTTGCGGGTTGTTTTCAGTGGCAGTCCTGTAGAGGCAAAATAGGTCAAGAAATTTACCTAGAAAGCAATAAAGATAAAGGTGAAATGCAGTTCCTCTCTCCCGCTGACCCGAAACTAAAAGGTTAAAAAACAGTTGGTCCCCCATGATATAGATATGCCTGCGCCCCAAGTCCAGGTGCGCCTGTGTTTGAAGGATCAACAAGCTTTCGCGAACAAGCTTTCGCCTCGAGAACCCTGGATCTCGCAGCAGCTCGCTAAGCGTGCCGATCCGGCGCCTAGTTGGTTCGACGCCTTCGTGGCCCTGCAGCCTCCGCAGGCGTGATCCAAGCGGGGGCACGGTGAGCACCCATGGACGCGCGTTCGTACTCGTTCTCGAGACAAAGTTTCTGTTCTGCCATGAGTGCGACGCTATATGTCCTAGCTTCAAGCACGAAAGGCAAGTACAGGGAGTCATGCTGCATTGCGAAAGCGAGGAGCACCTCCGCGACGTTGGAGAGTCAAGAACCATTTTAGCGCATTGCAGGAGGTAAAAAAGGCAAACGTAAAATGCCTATAAGCAGTCTGTTGATTAGCATGCCGTGCGAGGGGGTACTTCTGTCAAGACAGGAAATGCTAGGAGATCTAGGTACCTGAGCATCTCGTCTGCCATTTTGAGTAACCTGTTCGCTTGCCATGGTAGACGAATGCTGTGCACCTAGAGCAAGGCACTGCCACTGCCGGGTTTCGATGCAGATCTCGCCCAAATCGGCATCTCTGGTCCAGATCGGCTGCACCATCTGTACAACGTTGCGGGGATGACGCGGGTGGGTTCTGCGGGTGGGACGCATCGGGGGGCTTCTCGACTCCAAGACTTGCCCTTAGATACCGGGTACTGTGTATTCGTGTTCGTAGCTCTGGGGTATTGCAACGAGCAAATGCGGGATCAGTCGCTCGACATGGATGCGCCTAGCGTCTGCGTTCCGTCTTATGCAGCTTGTACGATAGCAAGTCCATGGACTGCCGTCGTCATGCTGCAACCTCAGCGAAGGATTAGACGGCTTGAGATGGGTTGCTTCAATGTCGTCGGTTCAAGACCATGCAAGCGCAGCCGAACTGAGAAGCGATGCATGCCGCCCCCAGGAGCGAAGGGTCGGTGAAACAGATAGCCCGACAGCATGTCGCCAATTCGATCAACTCAGCCAATGGACGATGATGATCGACACGTTTGGTGGTCAAACTCGTCCCCGTGCGAGCGTTAGCCAAGGAGTGACTTTATCTTCAGAGCTCCATAGGCCGTGTCTGCTGGCTTCTTGCATCGAGAAGCCTTCGTCGACGAGTCCCCCACACCAATTGCGTGGCGAAGAGTGTTGGACATGCATGCACCGACCTACGATGACCTGCCTTCCGTCGACAAAATGCCAAGGCGCTGTGTCTGGGGTGTCGTTGATAAGGACGGCAAGAAAGACCTGTTTGGGACACTGAATCATCTTACGGCAGCCACAATCGAAGCCGCTGCCGCCGAGGTCCCAGATGGCGTGTTTCTGCTGAGGATTAGCACCACAGATGCCTTCGTCAACCCCACACCTGAGGATATGGCCAAGCTGGCGCAGATAAAGTTCTCGGGTGCGCACGGCATCGAGGCGACGACAAGGTGGTCCTGGGACAAGCGGTTCGCCGCCGTTGCGACAGATTCCCCATCGCGTTTGAGGCTGTGCCGCCAGTGGGACGGGATGGCTCGGTTGGCTCATTTGACGAAGTCGGTCAGTAACCATCCCAAGCCTGGTGTCGGACATGATCGCTCACAGCAGCAGTGCTTCGTGAGTACTGTCTCGGTCTTTTTGGTATGCCGATTGGTGAGCTGTGAAATTTGGCCATGCTGACGGCGTACTGTTGCGAAAAGGGTCGTGACAGTTTTAGGTCCCATGCCTAACAGGGTCGCCACCAAATGCGTTGGCGATTTTGCAATGACGGTGCTCAGAGTCCGAGCTGGGTGCCAAAGGGGCTATTGAGAAACGAAGAATGGATAACATGCTAACAGAGAGGGATATAGACCAAGTTCGTTACAAAATAGGTGACTCGCCCAAAGCCTTCCTGTGACGTGTCAGAGGATTCATATCCCAAGTCCTGAAAGCCACCAGTGGCATGAAAACTCCCATCATTACACCTGGAAAGACCCATAGGCAGTCCAAGGCCCAGTCTAACAAGATGATTTTTTCATATTCAACACATCATTATGTGCCTGTTGCACGTTCGTCGTGGGGCCCTTCCTCTCAGCCAGTCCAGCTCTCCTGCATGATTTGGTCCTCTGTCAAGTAGAAAGTCTCCTTCTCACTCAACATCTGGTCGTGAAATATTTGGAGGAAACGGCCAGGGATCATGCTGCCAATTGCGACCTTGAGGTGGGTGTTCTTGCCTGTCCACAAGTGCTTGATGAAGGTGCCCTTGCACTCAGACCTGTCTTCGGGGAACCCATTGGCCTCGGCGCACGGGAGCTCCTTCACACTCTCGTTGTACGCATAGCGGATGTAGTTACCGAATCCGCCCTGGTCAGAGGGGTGGCCGCCGGCCTTGTCGCGGTAGTCGGTGCAGTTCGGGAATTTGCCGCCCACGTCAGCACATTCGGACCAGTCCTTCATTATGTCGTAGGTGACGGGGATGTTTTGCGTGATGATGAAGCCCGTGTTGGCATATAGCTTGCCCTTCTCGTCACGATTGTGCTTCGCTTTCGGGTCAGTCGCCAGGGTCAGAGCGTCCGTCTCGTTCCTGATGTCCCAGTAGTTGAGCAGCCATTCAAAGGGCAGGTCCAGGTGGTTGAAGATGGCGTCCGAGTCGGCAAACACAGAGGTCTTGTACTTGGACGTGACTCTTCCGATGATGGTGGGTTTCTTCCACGAGTCGCGACGATCAGGGAAAGTGCCCGTCTGGATGTAGTAGTACCTATATCCATGGATCTTGGCTGTGATGGGGTCAGTATTGGTGTTGGGTCAATGGAGGGTGAGGCGAGGACGGGGTGAGTATGAGAGCGACATGAGGATGGCAAGAGGATGGCATGAGGATGACATGAGAACGGCATGACAACGGCATGAGAACGGCATGGGCATGAGAACGGCATGAGGGCAGCCCGAGGACAAACAACGGAGGAGAGCATCAGATGAAAAGAGACCAGAGCATACCATAGAGCCAGTGCTGGAGAATGCCGAGAGACGGTCCGTGAATGGCGGTCGTGTTATCCCAGCTGAGGGTCTGGTTGCCAAAGATCTCGCCCGTCTTGTTGAGAGGGCGACTGTCCATGTCGAGGATGACGAGGTCCTTGCCGAGGGGCTCCGGCCAGCCAATGTGCTTGGGGAGCTTCCATTCAAAGGCGCCCGACGGCCGGTAGACGGGATCGGTGGGCTTGATGGACGGCTTGACAATGTGTTCCAGGTAGAAGGCCTGGAGCTTGACAATGTCACTGGCGGTGAGCCCGTCGGCGCCAGCCTGCTCCCCTGGCCTGGGCTTGGAGAGCGCGTAGGGGTTGATGGTGTTCTGCCCAGGGCTTATTGTTGCGGGTGGGGTTAGTGACAAGATCAGGAATGTAGGGATGAGATGAGATGCGATGAGATGCGATGACGGAGGCTCCCTTGATACGACCCGGGAGAGTGCAGTGCAGCAAGTGCAGTGCAGGGAGGGAACCGACTCGCGACGCGCGCTGGCTGGCGGTGGGCGGACTCACAAGGCGGGGAACTCGAAGCTTTGGTAGTGGGCTAAGCCAAGCACGAAAAGGATGAAGACCAAGGCGCCGATGGAGGCGACGACCGTGCGACCATGATGCAGGCCCAAGACCTGGTGCATGGTGCTGTGCCGTGGTGTGGTGTGGTGTGGTAGTACGAGGAATCGATGTAGGGAGGATGGATGACGGATTGACGGACGACGAGCGCAGTGACAAGGCAAGGACAGACCGAGGCGCAAAAGGAGAAAAGGAGTGTAAGAAAGGAAACAGCCAGACGTAAGGAGTGTGACGCTGCTGGACGAGATGGATGATGGGGTGAAGAATGGGACAAAATGGTCGTTGGGAATGCGTACAGTATGGGATGGATTGAGTTGGGTGGTAGAGGGATAATCTAATTTCGACCTCTGCTCTGGAGCACTGCTCGTCACCTGTGCACAAAAGGGATGGAGAGAACGCACAGGACAGAGAAGGGGACGACGCGGCGGCGCGTGGTGTGGCAAGCGCGACCGAGAACCAGGTGCCATACCAGGAAGAGGAAGGAGCCATGCAGATTCTGTACCAGGCCAAGCCAAGCAAGTGGCAAGTGCAGGTGCCAGGTGGTCATGCCCATGCCCGAAGGGCTTCACAGGAAGGAAGCATCTACTGGTGGAGAGGCAGAGAAAGACCTAGGAAATTGGGGTCAATCTACGCCACCAAGGCCACCATCCATCTCATTGGAGGACCTGCTGTCCTGGATAGGGGCATGTGGGGTGAGTGCGCTTCCGGGACAGATGCGGCAGTTGCGACGGTGGAAATCACGTGCATCATTGCAGCCAAACGAAATCACCAATTTACCCAATGGGCCCTTTGCTGATTGTCATGCCTTGTGGCGCTGATACCATCGTGGCGCATGTCAATCTCTCTCTAGCCTCCGGCGTCATACAGTACATGTATCGGCGGAACGTCAGGGGAGGGAATGACGATGCCTCTCTCCTATAGATTGGTAACAACAGGCTCATTTAAAGGCTATCAAGGACTCTGTCTTCGCTCGCCGTGCAGAGAAGCGGCTACCGCTCCGCAAGAGCAAGAGCGGTTAAACAGGCCACAGCTCACAGCCATCCAAATATGACAACCAGCAACGAGCACAAAGACGAGGTTCATCAGGTAAGACTCGTGAATTGGCGTCCCAATCATTCATGTCCAACTATGTACAATGCAATTCCTCGCCCCCAAGGAGAAATAACACGACAACATTCCAAAACCTCTTGGGATCAGAAAAGGAAAAGAAAAGAGGGCAGAGGCAGAAAGAAAAAACGGGGGAAACCTATGATACCGAATGTATTTTGTTGGAAACGAGTGCCACAGTCCATGTGTTCTCCAGTTGAGAACCAGCCTCTGTGTCCAATGCACCATCCTCTCTCTCCACACCAAACCGTACCTTACGAGCGGCTCAACCGACTTACGCAGGAATGTCGTAGGTCGAGCCGATGGGGCCGTAGCGAATGTCGGACCAGACGACGTGCGCGCTCGGGTTCTGCGCAATGACAGCCGAGGGGACACCAGAGTCCGTGGGGCACGCGCCGCGGGCCGCGCCGGGCTTGGTGGGGTCCTCAGGCGGGTAAATCGAGTCGAGCCAAAGCATATTGGCGTAGTGCTACGACATCATGTCAGTCAATCTGTGCTGGAGACGACGTGTTTTTTTTTTCTTTTTGTCCCGTTCTGTCGAGCTCCCAAGGGTGTACTCACATCGGCCCAAATGGACAGAACGACAACCATGGGCAGGGCGAGGGCGCTGTTGAGGGCGCCGAAGCCGCCAATCTCGGCCTGCCTGTCACGCTCGTCCCACGCAATGTTGTAGGCTGTGCAGTACTCCGGGTTGACCGTGTTGCTGTCGCTGGGGACGCCCTCCGAATTGGGCACCGGGACCTCAATGACCTCATCGTTCTGGATGAATGTCGTCGACAGCTCGTTGGGAGAGAATCGAGTCACAACGCTGCAGTGGTCTGGTGAGTCGCCTGGTCAACCAAGGGGGGACTTTTTGGGCGGCACTTACGTGAACGGCTCGTTGGTGTTGACGACCTTGTTCTTGCCGTAGAACTCGGGGTTGCCGAGACGGTAAGGGTTGTAGTCGCAGCCATTGGCATCACACTTGCCAGCAAAGCGATCCTGCGAGTACGTGCCGCCGCACTCAATGGCACCATCGCCACAGACGTGGTAGTTGTTGTCCTCGCAACCGTGGGGCGTCAAGGCGTACGACCAGGCGTTTGACTCCCTGAGACTGGTCAACCATCTGACACGGCATGCACATGAAGACATGGTCACTTACCAGACATCAATCTCAGCGCAGCAAGCACCGAGATTGCCAACACCAGAGGCGGGATCGGTCGCAGAAGGGGTCCAGCCCTCAATGTTTCCCTACGGCAAGCGTATTAGCCGCTGAGGTGAAGAGTATAGCATGAAGATGATGCTTGATGTCACTCACCTTGCCGTTGACAAACTTCAGGTCCCGGGCGCACTGGGAGTCGCAGTAACCGACACCGTACTTGGCGCCTGCAGCGTTGTTCGGCTCATCGCTCTTGCCGCCATCAGGCTTCATGGGCACAAAGTAGAGCGCGCTGTTGATTCCACACTCGACCGTCGACAGGTCAACCGTGAACGAGAACTCGTTGTTCAGCAGCGTGAACATTTGGTACGTCTCGTCATCCTGCAGTAGGTAGGTCCTAGACCCGACATTTGTGCCGTACTGGTGCTCGGTCACAAAGTTGAGGCGCAGGGCGTTGCCGCTCGTTGTGATGCCATATGTCGTCGCATAGTTCTCACCCTCAACCGCGCAGTTCTTCGCGCAGTCGTCGGCTCCAGTGCAGAGACCGGTCCAGTCGTTGCCGTCGTAGCAGTTCTCGTAGCCGCCAACTGCGTGGACCCAACGCCAGTTGGCGTCAACGACGACGGAGCCTTGAACATCGCTGCATGTGCCGGATGAGCAGTCCTTCCAGGTGAGGGGAGGATGTGTCTCAGGGGTCTCTGTGCCGACCTGCTGCGCCATGGCTGTGGCCAGCAGGGAAAGACTTGTGACAATGACTTGCTTCATGGTGAAAATTGGTTCTCGGGCTGGGATGGGAAGGGATTGGAGAAGGGTGCTGTTGGACTGGTTGGGGAGTGAAGAAAAGCTATCTCAAACCGGGCATTCGCTTTCTTTTATCACTCTCGTCGGCTATTTTCAGCATGATTGTCTCCATCATAATACGGACAGAAGTCGTCCGAAGTTGTGGAAAGACTGTCCGGTTCGCCGTCAAAAGATCGACAGCAAATAACCATGGTATTCTGAGAAGTAGAGGATGATATCGATGTTGTGGAGCAACTGAGACAGATCGACTGGTCGCCTGCCTCTTGTCGAATATCCAGGGGCACGTCTTCCAGTCTTCCTACGTGTATGTGTGGTGCGATTTGCGTACCCGCAGAACAAAGTCATGCGTACCATGTTGCGGCTCCTTTCTCCGAAGGCCGCCGCTAACATCATGATCTCCTCCGAAGACACGGGACAGAAGTAGCAAAGAGCAGCATCGGCCGGATTGTGAATAGCAAATGGCATGTTGAACTACAGGCGGAACACAATGCTTCATCTGACATATCCCTGCCAACCCTGCGTTGTCCAGACGAAGGAGGTGCGGCTGGTGAGACTGGGCCGCGGCTTGAGCTACAGAGTGCCAGGCAATCACCATGGGCAAACCCGGCTGCTTGAGGGGTTGAGCGGCTCAGGGGGGCTAGGGGCTCGCTCAACCGGACGAATGCCACGCGGCTCTGCAGGATTGAGTCAGAGAACAGGTTTAAGCTTCATTGTTTCTGTTCTGACATGTTTCCGATATGTCATCAAGCATCAATGGATTCATCGGCAAATCGTCTTGGTACGTTCAAGTTGGTGCTTCAGAATACATTGGCAAAAGCTTCGCGAGCCTAGGTCTCTTGGTCAAGGTACGATCGCAACGCCCAGATATCCTAGATCTTGACCCAGAACATCAACGCCTCGACTTCCTTTCAATACGCTGCAATAGTCCCTGAAGAAGATCCATGGCTGAGTTTGTCGATCTTCGTTCAAAAGGGACGCCGGACCTTCCGTTGGGCGGTCCACGTCCGATGCAGCTTTTATCATGACGATCTTTGTCCTGGTGCACTCTAACCTCCCAGTAAACGCGCAGGTCAAATGCCAAGATGGAAAAATGCCGTCGATCGACAGCTCGGCCGACAGAGTTGGCTGTCGGGGGTCGGCCCCGCGGTGTTTTGACATGATTTGGAGCTAATCTAGAGGAGATCGGCAGTCATGCTCTCAGCCCCTGGCATCTGCGACTCATCATCTGCCCAGCACATCCGGGCATTCGATGTGTGCCATCATTCGTCCGGGTGAAAGCAGCGAGGGCACCCCCCCGATGTATGCCGGTAGGGCATCTGGGGCAATGCGGGGTGCTCCCGATGACAGTGCGGAGAAAGTTTCAGAGGAAGCAGAACGGTAGTGATCAAGTATGAGATAGATACGTTCGATAAAATGATGACAGCGGAGATTGCTCAGGGAATGGATAGGGGGCTGTTGGGGGCCGTTAGTGCGGAACTGCTGCTTCCGTTCAGTATTTCCGGCGGTGACCTTGGGTTTGTCTTGAGGCTTAGTCAACTGGACAGCACTTAGCTTCCAACATGCTAACATGCTCATGTTCTTACACCGTACAACCATCGCCTGATTATTCTGGGTCGGTTGCGAACCAAGCGGTAGCGCAAGCAAGTCGATTCGACATCAGATCAGATGTATGACAATAAGTAAACCTTGTTCGACCTGCGGCCAAACAAGCCGACGGCTACCGGGCCGGATTTCTCAGCCGGTGGATGCTGCTACACGAATAGGATTCCATTAAAGGAAGAACTTAATCAGCTGTGCGATAATCCAAGGAGTCTGTCTGTTGCGCAAAATTCCGCGTATCAAGTGGACAGGTGCGTTGTAGTACCTAGCACTGGACCAAACTCTGAAGCCTCTATCGTCTGTTATATACCGAGAGATTTACAGCCTTAATTATTCCTGGGTTCGCTCTGTGATGTCCTACAAAGCCCGATGTATGAACCCCATACAAATGCATGACTTCGGTGACTGGTGTTGGCTCGACACGGCTTCCATATCTTCAGTCCGACGAATACGACGGACCGATAATATGTCGCGAATCTGGTCAGAATGAGTCTTTAGGAGCTGTCAGAACATGGGTTGAGAGGAGTGAAGGGGTCTTCCACACTAGGCCAGCAAGCAATAGGCGATAGGTATGAGGTAAGAACTCATTCTAATCACTGGCCCTCCACAGCAAGGAGGTGCCGTCGCAACCCTTCTATACGCGTTCTCATAGTCCCTAGCCCCCAACAACCAACCGTTCCATGGTTTCGCAGGGGCCTCCTGATAGGAGCAGTAGAACTTTCATGCGCATTGGCAAAATACCAATACCACTTCCTAATCTATTTCCACCCCCTGATCCTCTCTCTCTCCTTGAGCACTTTTGCTATGGTTGCGATTATTCCAGGTAATGGCCGACCGCGTATTTCCACTTCCTACTATGTTCCTCGAAATTAGCGATCCCGTTGAAATTGAACAGCATGTTTGTTATTCTGTACCGGCATCTCTTCACGGAGCGCTTAGCAACCTATGACATATCTGCGCCAGCATCGTTTACTGACTCTAAGGATCAGCAGTCACGTCGTGTACACAACTGTCGGAACTCTGCCTAATGAGTAGTGGGCTCTTAATGAGTAGTAAGATATATGGAGAACAAACATGCTATCCTATCCTTGGAAGACGACAAGTAACCCCCAAGCGCCGTGCACATGGCTAGCCCTGACTGTAGATACAATGACTGGGTTGAACGCATGTAAGTGCATTCCAGGACCCAGAGAAATCGGCTCAGTGAAGACGTCCGCCAATGAATATTAATGGACCCTATATTTAATGAAGTACCTCAATGATATGAAAGAATCGGAGGTTGATTGCGTTGTGATGGGTGGATGTCCAGCTCAACGATTGACCACCTTACGATTGACGTGATCTGTGCCCATTCGAGCCCTCGTCGCTTGTCGGGCTCCGCTCCTCTGGCTCTTGCTCTTGTCTCGACTTGATCGTGACCTGTTGTGTGACTAGGGTAGTTGCCTGAATGCCTCCCTTGCCCGCCGTTGACTTCTCGTCTTCCTTAGACGAACGATTTAGCGCTGACCAGTAGGAGGAGTTTTGATGGCTCTTCACCCCACCGCTGACAGTGACTTTGTAATTACCGGCCACGGATACCCTTCCAGCGTCCTGCGTGACCAGCTCGATCCTATCCTGGTCTTGGAGAGACCAAGTGCTGTCTGACACAGGGACAGTGACCGATGTGACTCTTGTCTTGTTCGGGATCGTGTTCGTGCTGCCGTCTGGAGCATGAATGTACGCCCCGCCCTGGGATCGACCTTGGTTCCCTCTTATGGAGGAGCCCATCAAACTCGGCATGATCTTGGCGAAGACTGGTCTTAGCGTCGGCAAACAAGCCGCGAGGATGGCAGTTGTGACTTCGAGATATGACCAGGTTGCCGCATCCACATTGTCCCAGTTAGGATCATCTGTCGAAGCCGCGATCTTGAGAGTGCGGATGCGAATAATGGAGATGATGCAGGTGCTGTCACAATCGCACGTCAGCACCGGTTCGACGAGGAAGATATCTGTCAAGATGCAGAGACACTTACAAGAACCCAAGGCCAAAGACCGCAAAGAGCATCACCTTTTGTTTCTTGGGCAATTGGAGGGAGCGAACCACCGGCAACGGCAGGCCGAAAATGGCGAAATCGGAGACCAAGTTGAAGGCGGCCATGACATACCAAAGAGTCAACGAGTCCAGACATCTACCCGGCAAAGTGTGGTCCCAGAACTTGGCGACAGGGACGCAGACGAGTGTCATGAGGAAGAAGATTGTGATTGACCAAGCAACGATGAACGCGACAGCGTAGAAGGTAATGCGTTGCATCATCTGGAGAGAAAAGATTCGCCGGTATTGGAGGAGAATAGAAATTTTGACGAAACACATGGACATGTTGTACATTATAATGGAGCTGTAAAAGGCCTATTGCTGTGACTTAGCATAATGATGACGAGCGGTTGGATGGAAGTCACGCCCCGATTCTTGCCATACCTTCATGTATGGGAAAAGGTGTGCTTCAGGCTGAACCCAAGTGTGTGATCCGAGACCAAATTTGCTCTCTGCGAAGCCCGATTAGCCTTGCTTGCATCTCTTGGGAGCAGGCGGCGTCTTACCAAGGCCAATAGTCACGGCGGCGGCGATGGCCAGGATCTGGGCAGCCACCATAACTCCATCATCCCAGCCAAAGGTGTGAAGAAGGACCAGTCGCGTATAAGACCGAAGCGTGACAGCGATGGTCGACAACGCACAGCAAACCGACAAGATCGTGCAAATCTCTGTGAAACGAGACTCGTCATCCACGGAGCGGTTACTCATCTTCTCAACGCCTCCAGCTCCGTCTTCGGAGCGTGTGTACATCGGGGCTGGCGGACAGGAACTGATACTGGGCAGTCGGGATCTTGACTCTCATAATCAAGTTATGAAGGCGTCTGAGCCCCAAAAGCTGGTTCGACAAATAGTCTCGCTAGACAGTTTGACAAGGCAGGCCATGGTATATATCTCCGGCCTCCCCCCTTGTCCCTTTTCCATCAAACACCACGATCCACCCCCGGTAAGCCACTGCAGACCCGCATGTCTCATGGTATGAAGCTGGCTGTCCTCGAATTCATCGACTAAGGCGACACCATCAAGCTGGTAGATGAGGATGCACGGAGATACAGTGTCATGGGAATCAACGACGTGAGTCTGTTCGCACTGGAAGACCCTGGTCCCCAGTCTGCCTGACGCCCCTGAATTGGGGTGGTAACAACGGGCGCCGATAGTACCCCGACGGCGTTTGGTCTACTGCAGGTCATACCAACTGAAGCCCAGCGGTTCATCGCCCCCAATCTGCTAAATCCTGTAAGTGGATACAGCTTTAGGCGACATTTGTTTTAGTGTGGTCAGCTTCGTCCAGGCCCCTGCTTCAATTGATGACCCGACCTGCTGAGGCATTGTACGTATCGTGTGTGTGGTGCCTAAAGCTTCCCGGTAGTGAGCTTCCATTTATTCTGAAGATTCACCCATGTGCCCATTCCCACTGTACAATGGGCCTGACTATTATGAGCAGCCGGATTATTGTTGAAAGTAGAGCCAGCACGACACGCGGGCCGGGTTCATAGGTAGAACCTATTGCGGCCTATTAACCACCAGGATACCAGGTTGCCCAAAGATATGGATATGCTTGCGAACATGTCATGTCATGTTATCAACGGGCTACTGCAGTTGTCAGGTGGAAGCTCATTCACTCCATGGAAAAGTGAGTTTGTGGAGGTCCAGGAGCACAAGTGTCAAATGGGTAGGCAGGGGAACGGACCGATTTTCGATGTGACGTGAAGATCTTACAGTAGCACTTGCTGGCCATTCATGAGGGATCGCCCGGATTGTGGATCAATCATGTCCACGGCAGACAATTTATGAACACTTCCGGTATTGTGAATTATGGGCCATCTGTGCTCTTTCACCGCCGGAAGAAGAGACACATGATGGGCCATCTTGAGCTCACCGATGATCGTCAACAGAGAATTTCCCGCTCGTAAATTAGCTTCATCAAGACGAAAAGTTGTAGATGGCAGGCGACCAAGCGACGGTGCGTTCCGCACGCGCGACAATGGAAGTCAGAGCAACCATGGAACGTTTGCGTCAACAATCTCGGTCAATGGTCGGTCTAGGCCCAGAGGCGTATCTTTCGGGTAAAGGGTATCTCCAGAGAAAACATGGAGTGTGGTCGCACCACGCTGAGTTGGCTGCTCCGTGGCTCTGTTCATTACGCCCCCCTCATACGACCAGCTGTGGCAACCTCGGCACGAGCGACGAGCGTGAAATTGACTCATGGGACAAGCCAAGTGACCCAAATGCGTTTTGCCGTCTGGGAAGAAGAGCTTGAGGCAGCTGTGAAGCCCCTCGCTTGTATCTGTACAGCAGATGGTATCGCGAACGGAGATACAACTGAGGAGTCCATGGCAGGAGCCCTAGGAGCCCCGAGCCGTGGGACCCGAGGGATCATGGCCATGAGTGATGAATACCAGCCTGGCTTGATCCAATGTCCCTTTCGTCTGGCTCAATGGGTTGACGGCTCCGTGGTGGACTGTGCCGCTACGGTACCGCAGCAGGCTGGCGCAAGTGGAGCAGGGGTGGCAGTCCATGTACATGTACACCATGACCGCTCTAGGAGATAAGATGCAAGGGCCTTTCCCCAGGGGATAATTAGAGGGACGAGCGCTGAAAGCCCTCTTGTCTTTCTCGCATAAGCCGACGGACATTACTACGCAAAACATCAAGTGTGCCGTGGGCCTCGTTCGCTCTCGTGGTGTTCGACTGCATGTCCGGCAGTCGAAGCTGTTTGTGGGCATCCTGTGCCGTCCGTCCGTCTTGTCAGCTTCGGTAGGGCCGACCTTCGTCTGTAGGGCTCACGGAGTCTCCGGAATACGTGAGCTCGAGCCCCGAACTTTAAAATTGTGGCGTGATAGATGTCGTCAGTCGAGGATCTATGGCTAGCGACGAACAGGATGCCGTGCCGGTCGGCACCACGAACGCCACAGTGACAGCTGAAGAGCCGGCGACAACGAACAACTTCTGCCTGTGCCAGTCCCTGTGTAGCGCAGAGGCCTGCTGACCCGTTTTGGTCCAGACTCTGAAAGCCAGACCAGACCAACGATTCTGGTGACTTGTGTGATCCAGGCTATGTAGGAGCCTTCCCCCCCCCCCCCCCCCCAGTCGACCCCGACATGACTTTTCAATCTTGCCAGTGTGACCTTCGACAAAGAAGCATTGTCCGCGAATCTCACACCATCCAAAGATACCCTTCACTTCTCATCTGCATCCGGCCTCTACACCGGATGTACGGCTTGGCGATATCGAAGGCATGGCTGGGGAGACGGGTCCGATCTCAAGTTCGCTACCGATCAATATGGTCATAGCCGGCTTTTTCGCCATTGCCTGCTTTAACTGTATCGAAATCTTGATCACCCTCCTCAACCGATTCAAGAGGCCAAAAAGCTTATACTTTTGGAGCATGCTGGTTACGACCCTCGGGACCCTCCTCCACACGATCGTCGTACTACTTCGCTATTACGCTTTGGGGCCTAATTTCACCCTGGCAGTGCTCACATGCGTCGGATGGTACGGCATGGTGACAGGCTTCTCTGTTGTCCTCTACTCACGCATTCACCTTGTCGAACCGGATAAGACCAAGACCCGGTGGATCCTCGTCATGATCGTCACGAGCTTCTGCGTCTTCCACGTCCCTGTCACCGTTCTATTCCTCGGCAGCAATACTCAGCACACCGCAACATTCATTCGGGCTTTTGACATCTATGAGCGCGTCCAGCTCGCGGGGTTCTGCATCCAGGAGTGCCTCATATCAGGATTTTACATTCTTGAAAGTCTTCGCTCCCTCAGGCCAATCCTCGCCGTCAAACTACCAAGGGAGCGCCAGATTATCAGGAACCTCGTCATCGTCAACGTTTTCGTCATGGTCCTCGACATCAGTCTGCTGGTGACCCAGTACACAGGCAACTTCCAGATACAGACAACCTACAAACCTGTCGTGTACAGCATCAAGCTCAAGATGGAATTCATCATCCTCAATAGGCTTCTCTGCCTAGTGCAGCACGGCAACAATAATGACTGGTACAATCTCGAAAGCAGCAGCGCTCGGTACGGCCAATGGCATCCTAGTATCTCTGATATACGATCGTTCGACCCCAATGCCCAATCAGTGGGACATTCCCAACATGGGATGCAGCTGCAACTGCAGCGAAGCTCTGAGCCTGCAGCGCAATCCTTGGGCGTGGAAGAGTCAAGCCGTTCAGTTGACACTACACTACCAAGGGATTTCCGGGTTCCGCCTCGTCCGCCTGTCGCTGCAATGCGCTAGATGACAGCCATATTTGCGCAATCTCACTCTATTTGTTCTTTCTTTGCTTTTGAGCCAGGGCATTAACGACAGCGACGGGTTCAACAATTAGCGAATTCCGATGTTTCAATCGCCCCCTATGGGGCCAGTAGTCTTTCCGCGATGCGGGCTCACCCCTGCTCCTCGTCTTGCTCTTAGTCGGTGCTGGGCCATGTCCCGAAACTCCCGCTTGCTAGAGGTCACTGTCCCTCGCAAGCAGCCAAGCTGCGAGAGATTGGCCCCCATGGGTCTGACAGGCTTTTGGTTCGCCGCTGGTCTAGCACCGGCACCTTCACCGCCGGGATTCCTGGCGCTGCGGCTTCTAAGCAAGATATAACTACCTAGCAGCGTCCAAAGAGAACGCTGTTAGAACCGGTGAGGCTCGGTGTTAGTGGACGCTCATGTCTGACTCTGAGGCGTGGTGGTGTCCTCAAGCATTATGCACTCTTTGCAACGAATACAAGGTAAGACATAGACTAATCATTATCGCGAGAAAGAGTATATTCATGAATATAGAACAATCGTCCTCGTGTACCTATCCGTCCTCGCGCCTGGCGCACGCACAGAGAGTCAAGGTAACATCCTTCGCAGACGTGCAGGTCTTGACCTGACTGCTAGCTGGAGGAGTGCCGTTGGCCCAGGTGATCGCGGGGCAGGTCGAGTCGGCGCTTTTCTCGACGAGCTTCTTGCCCTTGAAGGCATCACCAAAAACGCTGCTGAGATCATACCAGACCTTGGAGCCGTCAAGGGAGTAGGCGAAGTTGAGCTGGGGAGCGCCAGTGTAGAGGCCGTCGCGAGCGGTCGTGATTTTGATGGCCTTGCCGCCAGTCTTGGGGTCTTTGACAAAAGGTCCGGCGTAAGACCCAGACTTAGGGGCCAAACGATAAGGACCGGCGATAGCGCTGCCGACGGACCAGACGCTGACTTCGAATCACCGTGTGTTGCGACAAGGTCACGCTCCTCGTCACCGCCACGGTCTCACGTACTACGTCCAGATGTCGCGACCACGCCCTCTAGCAATGTCAAGGACTCGGTGGATGGATGGGATGCAAATTGATGGACTTCACTACACTTTGGCCGATCCTAATTTCGTCATGTAGCTAGCCCAATCCAAGAGCTTCAGCTAACACTCCCTTTCTAACCCCCGAAACTATCCAATTCAGCCATCCAAGAGGTGCTCCACGAGTTCAAGGCCTCTAGCCTCTTTCGAACGGGAAGCTGGCCAACGGAGCCCTCGGCCCAAGAGGTCTCAGGCTGATAACCCTTCTTGTCTTGAAGAAGTGTAGGCAAAGATTGAATGACCTGCTCCTTGACGAGCGAATGGGGGACAAGCCGCACGAAAACTGGTCGCCGGAATGGTTCAAGATGTTCGTACGACAGCCCTAGGCGCCAACGACAAGACCCTGGAGACCCGCTCTCAAGTTCCACGGCACCAATGAGTCCATGGTCGACACTTCAAAGCAATCATCGTCTCGTAGGTACGTGAAGGTGGGAATGGACGGGCAGCGGATGCTGAACACGTCGTGTGATCACCTGTTGGGCGAGGTGCGTTACTCTTGGGGCAACACAAGTAATCATGTTGTGCTTGGATGTCTGCACACAGAAGCTCTTCAGGACTCGCAAGTAGTATGGCTCACTGATTACATGTCTACCTCCTCGTGTACCTCGCCGACCCTATTCATGGTACTTGGCGACTGATCGTTCTTGATCGGCCTCATTTCCCGCAAATGCTAGCTGCCATCATAGCAGATGGAAGTAAATCTCTAGCCTGTGGTATACCTCTCGGACATCCCAGTCCGAGCCCTCCTCGTGTTATCCTGTGTAGCTCAAACGAGGGTCTTGACTCGAATGGCCGTTGCAATGCACTACACATTGCCTGTGCGAAAACCACCATTCCATATTCCCTTCCCAAGAAATCTTGAGGTAGGTAATGTCTCGTCGGGAGGGGAATGATTCAACACTGTCCACGTAGGGACACCCATCATGTGTCCTTGCAAATCCCAGATACATAGACTCTGATGATTTGACTTCCAAGGGCTCCGCTAGGTAATCAAGTCGCACCTGTCCAACAGAAGTTCTCCGCCCATCGGCATATCGAAAGAGTAGGCCGAGAATAGCTGGCTTGTCTGTTCCCCGAGTCCGACACGCGGCTAACTCTGTGATATTTGCCAAAGATGCGGACGTGAATGTATAAGCCTCGAGTACCACTCCGACAGGATAGGGCAACTCGGGAATCGGGAACACAGGGTGATTTGCGTTTGGTTCGGGACTAGGTCTCTGGAATGCCAGTAGACTAATGCCTTGGGATGAGTAGTCGTAAAAGAGTTGATGGCCGCCGCGCGCCGGGCAGTCTAAGATTGTAAAAGTCGGAACTAATTGTGATAATCTCGGGTGCCGACCTATGACCATTACGCGACCCCGGCTTGTGAGAAACTATCCATGTTAGATTAGACTCCCTATCTGATGTGATGGTGCTTACAAGCAGAATGTCGCTAGGTGTCATTTGGAAACGGCAATGCCATATCGCGATAACGAGCTCGTCTTCGTCAATAGGAAAATAAGTCCACTGCCCATGACACTCTTCGGTACTATAGCATCGTAAGTCTTTGTTTGAGGTATGAGCGTGTATTTTCATGATGCGGTGATGAAACAGAGCTGAGTAACCGGTTATTTTGGGTTTGTTACAATCGAGTGGCACCATCCTGATCAAGCCATGATTCTGCCCTAGGTCATGATACCGTAACAGTTCTGGAGACGGATGTGGCACAGCCCATATTGTGCTACGGGGCATCACAGTAGCCCGCGAGTCACCAGCCTGGGTCAGTCCGCGTAGCTTAACGCTCTAGGTAATTCGAATAGGTAAGTAAGGAACAGAAATGGAGCGAAATGAACTCACATCCGTATGAGCCTCAATCTTCCCAGCAATGGGTAACCGAACAGTCTCCCACCAAACCCCTGGCCGTCGATGGGATGTAAGTAGTGGTTTCGTAGAGTTTCCGAATATAATCTTTCGAACCCCAAGGTGATCTGCTGTTAGCCATGCGGTGTCGATAACATAGCTGCTGTCATCTGGGTCATTTCGTCTTCTTGAAGTGCCTCTTCGTGAAGTGCCTCTCCGTGTACTGCCCGTTCGTGTTTGTTTCAACGCTGCAATGTACCTGGCACACTCGAAAGCGATGTACCGCGCCCGAAGTCCGCGTGTGATGCGAAATTTGGAGCTGACGTGGCCGGCTACCTTTGGAAACGTATCCAGGGCGTAGTAGACAGCGCACCTATGCAGCTCCTGTCCACGGAGATAGTAATTTGCGATGTGTGTGCAAAGCTCCGGAGGTAGCGGTAGGGGAAATTTATAGAATTGAATCATGTAATGCTATAGCCACCGGATACGTCGCTCGTCTTCAGTAGCGGGTGGCTCGAACTTCGGGGCAGTTATTCGGAAGAATCCTGCTCTCCATTCTGCTGTGGTAAGGTCGTAGCATTCACTATGACATCCCATCATTTGCTTGTCGGAGTGCTCACAGACCCTTTCGCAAGAGGCGTCAGCGCATTCAATGTACGTATAGTCTGGCAGCTCCACCAATGGAGAGCTCTCGTGTGTGTCAAAAAAGATACCATCGATCGTCACTACTCCAGTTAGAAGATTACGACAAGTAGGGCCCCGATACGCACCAACAACAACCTTGCTTCCGTCGTCAATGTTGAACCTACATAACCCACACCGAAGGGGGACACAAATGTATGCCATGATTGGTTTCTGGTATGGGGACCACTGTGAAGTTAACCAGAAAACTGGGTCGCAGTGGTGGGCGGAAGTTCCCTGCTTTTATCTTGGAGTACAACACTTCTTGCGGGGCCACTGAGTAACTTATTAAGCATCATGTCATTGCCAAAACTGTCTCACGATTCCCGACTAACTATGGAGCAAAACCAACAACCGAAACAGAGCATCACAAGACATCAATTTCCCAAATCATAACACCAGAAACGCGAGTGCCTTTTCCAGACAATTACATCGCGACTGCCCCTTTTCCCCTTTTGCCAGTCTTTTTTCTCGGTGATCGTGGCATCCCCTTCAGAATATCGAAAGAAAGCGAATCTTAAGCCCTGTGTTTTCCAGGGCGTGACCTGCCATGTCCCATCGCTCCGCTGCTTTGGCCTCCAATCTGAATCTGATATAATCTCGTTGTCTTGATGAGCGAAGTCGCTTGGGTGGTGAGAGAGCTCCGAGGTGGGGGCATGTGAGCCTTGGATCTCGTCATAGGCCGTGCCGGAGGCAGAGGCATCGTAGGCGTCGTTGGACATACTATAGGTCTCATCCGATCCACCATAGACAGCGGCTGAGGTACTAGATGTATCGTCCAAGGCACCGTAAGTGTCGCTCAAAGTACCGTATGTCTCACCCGACCCACCGTAGGGGTCGTTCAGGGTTCCGTATGGGTTGCCAGAGGAACCACGACCCCCGTAGGAGCTTCCCTCGGCTTGGTTCTGTACTCCAGAGCCCTGAGTACCATGCGGCGTTCCTTTTACCAAGCCGTAGAATGTGCTGATGATCTCTCCTGCCCTGGAGTCGACGGAGATGTACAATTTTCGGTCGCCAATCGTCCGCGGTTTCCCGTCTAGTGGTTCCAGTTGGAGACCTCCAGCAAGATAAAACCAACAGCGAAAGGTGTCTACCCAAGTTGTCAGGACGTATATGCCCTCAAGCTTTTGTGCATCGACAGTATCTTTTGCTCTCGCGAATGCTTGAAGTTCGACCGCGCGATGGGTTCCATCGGCGCCTTTAGACTCAATAATCAACGACAGCTGAAGAGTAGAGTTCCTAGAATCGTGTAAGAACACGACCTGGTCGAATCTGTTCTTTGACCTGTTGTGCGGAGCCTGTTCGCACAATGCAACGAAGCCGTCTCGAGGGGCGAAGAGGCATTGAGTAAGTGCTTGGAAGACATCACTGCTCGTGTATTCGATATTGTGGCCGTGGCATCGTTCAGCGTCGGGCTGTAGGACTACGGAATCTATCCTCGACGCAGACTGTTGAGCCGCCACAGGGTCGTCCCATGATGGGTCGTCATGAAGGACCTTTGTTCAGCAACTCAAGGGCCGAGCTTGTTCGGGTTGCCCATCAACCCAATCACATCCCGAGAGCTACTCGTGTTCGTTAGGAGCTAACAGTGGAAATTCCATGTAAGATGCGGTAAGGGGGGAGTGAAACGTTTGATCCGATTCGTAGAGCTTGTCCCGATATCAGCAGAGACGCAGCCCGAGCCATTGCCTTTCCTTTGTGTTCTTGGATGAACGGGAAGCAATGGATAGATATGCAGTAAGTATGCAACCATGATTGCATCTCAGAGTTCTCGCCCTTAACCTAGCCCCAGTACAACTTCTTTTGGCTTGGATTGTCAACTAATCATGTGGTCATGAATTTCGGTGAAAAGCACACACATAGATTCACCTATTGCGTCGTTACGGATGATATCATCAAGAACCACGATGTAAGAATCCACAGTATCTACTCCAGCAGTCCCAGGAACTTTCTTGCAGCAATCGGTCGACCGGACTGGCGGGTCTTCCAACTTTGAACGAGGCCCATCGTCTTGGCCAAGACCCTGCCGCACTCTCTCTCTGAAAACAATCTCCAAAAAGCTGGCCGTAAGCTCCTCAGAGGCATATCTTGGCGAGGCCTCACCGTTGCTAAGCGCCTAATCTGGAGCTCTTCCAAGGCGCTGCTCGAAATCGTAAGCGCTGTACCATACATGCAGGATAACTCAAGAACTGCTCGTGCTGGCGAGAACCTTGGAACGCTAGAAACACTCCATGATATGACATGAGTCTGACCGTTACTCATTTCGTGGATATATCGATCGAAATCTCCATGATTATCGAGCAGATCGAATTTCCAGACTCAAGAACGCCAAGTTTCACATGGAGCTCGTCCACGAAACGGATGTACTAGATCGAATCACGCAGCGTATCCTCGTCGCTGTCATATCAAGGAACAAATTTCCCTCTAATGGTCATCTACCTTAGTTTTCAAGCCTTGAATAGGACACTGAATGTCCGCCCTTCTGCTTTCGGCCTTCACCGAAAGGTGCTTGAGCGCGACCGCCAGCCGAGTTCCGCCCTTGGTAATATGGTGAGCATGTGTGTTCCTCGACGCGAAACGCAGTTTCAACACAAACCACCTCAGGTACTCTAGCAGCCCCACAGACTCATAGGAGAACAGCAGCTACAAACTTCAGTCAGAGTGAACAGCAGGCCACGACAGTCGTATGAGACCTTGCACAGCAAACACGTGACGGGGACTTCGGCTCACGACCAGATTGCTACAATTCGCAAAGAGGGGTTTCATTGCCACGTCCCACAAGCTACATGTCACCACGGAATTGAACAAAGTGGATTGATTGTTGTTAAGGTACAAAAGGAGACTTCCAGAAGTCCAAACGAAGGTAATTGGTCAGATCCAGCATCGGTAAGGAGTCTTACCGGGGCGATAACGACAGAACAAATGCATCAAATGAGGACTCCACATTTGGGATGAAAGTACTCCTGGGTCACAGAACAGAACCTTGCCTGATCGGCAACACACCCCCTCAGATGGGTAGGCGAGCCTCTCTCTGACCATCTGAACCACGAAAGATCAGGCAGATGCCTGTTGGCGGCTTTTGGTAGAGAATTTGGTGCCTTTGGAACAGTTGGCGTTCTCAGGGCAGATGAAGGAAATCGTGCTTGTGAAGCAAATAAGGATGTGTGTAAGTGTTAGGAGAGGTGGGCGAAATTGAGCAAGCTGTTCACTGGTGGACCGCTGGTACGCACTCCATCTGCAGAAGCTTCACGAAGTTCTGATGCTTCTGAGTCGGGAGAATCTTTGTAAGCCCATCGCTCACTATCTTGTCAGTGCTCATCCAGTCCACGGATATCTTCCCCTGTCTGACTGTTTGTCGGATCCAAAGACGATGGATGTCAACATGCTTGAGCTTCGTAGTGGCTTGAGGCCTCTCACTAGTGAGTAACAGCAGCGTTTGGCGGTTATCACAGAACATCTGGATCGGAACCTTGCCATGAAAACGTAGCTGAAGCTCCTTGATCAGACGAAGAGTGGCAAGGTAGTTCCTCGCTGCGACACTGAGGGCCACCAGCTCAGCTTCGGTGCTAGAAGTGACCACGGATCGCTGCTTTGTAGCTTTCCAGTCAATTGGACCTCCAAAGAGCATGGTGGTGTATCCTTGTGAGCTAAATCTGGTGATGGGATCATCGCCGAATGATGCGTCGCTCGCACAATACAGCGATGTAGAATGGTCTCCTGATCCTCCGTAGGACAGCGAGAGAGTCCTTGTGCGATAGAGGTAGCGGAGACAGTGGTCTGCTGCAAGGTGATGGAGTTCTGTCGGCCTGAGCAGAGACTCCGCAAGTCTTGAGGCAGCTTTGGCCACATCAGGTCGTGTTGTGGTTGCTGCGTAATTGATGGAACCAATTTTGCGTTGGTATAGTTGAATGGATTCAGCAGAGGCTTCGTAATCCTTTGGAGCAGGTGCTGGGTCTGTTGATAGAGGCGTCAAATGACCTCTGGTGGATGGCTGGAGGTTGAGGTCCTTCATCTTTTCAGTGATGTAGTTCTCCAGAGACAGCCAGAGCTTGCGCTGGCTACGATCTCTGACCACTCTGATGCCTAAGAACCATCTGACCTCGCCAAGTTCTCGCATCTCGAACAGAGACTTGAGCTGGCTCTTCAGCTCTTCGGCCGCTTGGCGATCCTCTTTGCGGTTCATGAGGATGATGTCGTCAACGTAGAAGAACATGATCATGCCTCTGCCCATGAAGACACAGTTATCTTCCTCGAGAGCCACGAGGCCGATCTTCCGCATAGCCTCGGACAGCAGCTTGTGCCAGAGAAGCGGTGATCGGCGCAAACCGTACAAAGCTCTCTTCAGCTTGAAAATCGTGCGCCTCTGTGGAGCGCCCTTCTTCTGTTGCATCTCCTGCATGAGATCCCAGCCCTGAGGGGCCCAGACGTAGACTGTCTCGTCGAGGTGTGCATTTGGAAAGGCGTTGACGGCATCCAACTGGTGCGTGTCTAGGTCAAACTCTGCACAGATGGCCATCAACGTTCTGAACGTCTTGGCTGCCAGTGTCGACGCGTATGTTTCCATCTCATTCTTGGGCTGTTGGTCTCCTCGTACGCAGAGCCTGGCCTTGAACTTGGTCACGTAGCCGGTGGAGTCAACCTTGTATTTCCAGACCCAGGTCAACCCGAGAACCTTGTGTATTTCCTGGTCGACCGATTCGAAGGGGACTTGCTCGATTGTGTCCATATTTTCAATGGTGTTGACCTCCTGGACGCTTGCTTCTAGCCACTGCTTTTTGTGATCAGAATGAAGCATCTCCTTCCAGGATCTTGGCTCCGCGGGCATATCTGTTCGGAGAAGCGGTTTCTTGTTCGATGGAGTCTGAGTGTGAAAGAATGAGTATTCCACGGTCAAATGTGATGATGGAGGCATTTTCTTGCTGCGGCGGGCTCCTAGAGCCTGGTCGGTGGGGGTGCCGTCTTTGAACTGTGACGGCTTTCTGTCTCTAGCGCTCCTTCGAGTGCCTTGGATTTGTGTTGATGGCGACGGCTGTGGGGCTGGTGCCACTGATGGTCGGGCCTCCACAGTCTCTGTCTCGTCTTCAGCTGAACTTTGATCAGCTGGTGTGTGTTGAGGTGTTGATTCAGGGCTCCGAGCTACTTCGATAGTGTCTTCAATAGCCTCTTCAGTCACTTGAATGGTGTCTGGCACGGGGATCGTGTCTTCCACAGCATCTTCAGCCCCTTGAATGGTGTCTATTACGGCATCTTCCACCCCCTCAGAGACAGCTGGCTGGCCTTGTCCAGTCTCCGTCTCTGGAGTTGGACGTGGTGACGGCAGGACATCATCTCTGCTGGCTGTGTGACCTTCCCGGGGTCGCAGTATCTCCGCGTTGATCTTTCCTCCAAGTTGGAATGTCCGGGCTTTCTCGAACAGGTCGATGGTGGCAACATCGAACTCGTCAATGTCCAGTGACGAGTTGAAAGGATTCTGGGCGTCCGCAACGGGCACGTCCAAAGCCTGGAATTCGTCCTGTAGAATTGGCTTTGGGGATTGGGCGTCCTTGAAAACTGTGGACTCATCGAAACCCACGTCTCTTGTCCTCAATACTGCTTTCATCTCTGGAACCCAGATTCTGTATATGTTGCTGCTGTCGTATCCACAGAGATAGCCGATGTGGGCTCTCGGAGCCAGCTTCTGCTTTCGGTTACGTCCCTCTTGGGCGTCTGCCGTGAGAGGATACGCCCTGCATCCGTATCTTCGCAGGTGAGCCAGGCCTGGAGCCGTAGTTCGAGCGGCAAGGCCCTTGGAGTTGAGCCAGTCGTTCAGCCTTCCTTCTGGTGTCGCCCACTGTAGGCGTCCCTTCGGCGTGAGATTGTGGAGATATGCAGCGGTTTGTACCACCTCTGGCCACAAATCCTCCGGGAACCCAGCAGCCGAGGTAAGGGTTCTTGCGATGGTGAATATCGTGCCTCCATTGCGTTCTGCGGCACCGTTCTGTTCTGGTGTCCTTGCGGCTGATCTCTCCAAGAGAATGCCGCGCTCTTCTGACCAAGTAACCAGATTGCTGCGTAGTGCTGAGTCCCAGTCAACTCTCAGGACCTTGATGACCAGATGGTACTGTCTCCAGAGAAACATCTCAAAGTTGATAAACGCCTGGAAGCCATCTGCTCTGGCAGGCAGAATCCTGACAACAATCTTCCCCGAATATGCGTCCGTTATTACAAGGCACGACTCCATGCCGTTGTACGACTTCCCAGGGCTGAAGAAGTCCAGGTTGACGCGCTCAAATGGATTCGTCGTCGTGTACGTTGGCTGTCTCCGAGATACAATCTTCTTGGATTTCGCTACCCCGCAAGACTCGCATTCGAATGTTGTTGGCCCTTTCACCCCAACTCCAGTACAGCTGTATGGCAGCTGCTGTATGGCCTCTGGGTGGGCATGAGCCAGCCGTTCGTGCCAGAGCCTCGAGTCGCTGACCATCGCGGCTCTCTGCTTCTTGGAGTGATAGAAGGAAGTGGTGCTATGTAGGGTGTTCACCGCATACTGGCCACCCTTCTCCTGAAGTGGGATCTCTGAGCCAGTGGCTGGGTTGAACAGCATGTTCCTGAGGGAGTCCAGTCCGAGTCCTTGGCGTTGGAGCTGCCTGGCTGAAATAAGCGTCGTCGGGTAGTCTTTGATGTACGAGACATCATGGCAGGTGATGCTGATGACGTTCTGCTTGCTGTCGAGGGTGTCGATGGCCATCGTGCCATGCCCTTCGACGGGGCTTGATTTGCCTCCTCCTGTGCTGTATCTTACAGTGTCGGTGGCCTCGCGAAAGTTGGTGAGGAGGTCTTTGTTGTTGGTTATATGGTTGGGTGTACCCGAGTCGATCAGGAACTCGTGACGGAGATCCCCTCCTCGGTTTGTCCGTTGAAACTCGTCCGAATCAGCGACGGAGAAGTTGCTCATGAAGTTGGTGTACTCGTCATCGCAGCTCTGTTCATCATCGTCACCGAGGAAGTTGTTAAAAGCAGAGACGGCGACTCCACTGGTGCCTCTTGCCTCCTGCCGCTTCTTTTTGTCCTCCTTGATTTTCTCGTTCCAGAATTGCAATGTGCTTGGCTTCATCCTTTTCTTCGCTTCGTCAATGTAGTCCAGCAGGCTCTGATCGGATTGATAGCTCTTCTTCCTCCGGTGTTCCGCGATATTTGGGCACAGACAGATGGGCTGACACGCCTTGGGTGCCCTCTTCTGCTGTACACAGTCGCAGAATGGTCTGCGAGAAGGCGAGCTGTTTGGCTGTTGAGGAGAGTCACGATGGGAATCCTGGGCACTCGTCCGATCACTTTGACCATTCCGGTCCTTGCCCATGAAGGTCACCGAGTCGCTGTAGAAGGACGTCTGAGATGGCTTGGTGGTGAGGCGATGCGGTTGGTAGTCTCTAAGGTAGCTCTTGTACCTCAACGCCAGTACCTTCCCTCCATCACGATCATCCAGCTCCCGGCGAACTTGGTGGGCGCACTCTGCTTCGGCCCACCCTGGAGACACGGAAAGAATTGCCCGAAGGAATTGAACATTTTGATCTGCGGCTTCTTTAAGCTGAGGAATCCCGTGCTTCTCAACTTCGATACAGAGTAGGATGAAGTCGTCAACCCACTTCTCATGGTCCATCTTCTTGATCATCGCCATATGCTCCTCCCAGCGCTGGCGAATGTATTGTTTCTGTCCCATGTCGGAAGGGGCGAAGTGGTCCTTCAACGCCTTGAGCCACTCCTGGCTGCTTTCCTCGTTCATGAAGACGGCCGAAAGGCTCCTGTCGACTGTGTTGAGGATGTATTTCTGGACCTCCTGGAGGCCCGCTGACTCCCTGTTGTAGATGTCCAAATGGATCTTGTACAACGTCAGCAGTGTGCTGAGATCTCGCGTCTCATCTTCGAATGACGGTGCTGTTGGCTTCTTGGCCCTCTTGGGCCGTCTGTCAGCCTCTTTGTCTGGGTCGACTAGATCCCAGGCCTCGTAGGAGGTCGCCACGGCTCTGACGGAGTTGAGCCATGTCCTCCATTCCTCCCTCCTTGTAAGTGTCACTCTGTGCTTACCAGAGTCCATCTTGAGGATCCCTGGGCGTTGTCGGAGACCGTCGGGGAGGTCGTTCGATGGTCGCGACTGATCGCGTGTATGTTGAATATCATCAATTGACCCCGCGTGTACTCAAGCCCTAGGCCACACGTCTCGGAGGTTCAATTGGTCTTGAGGAGCTGATTTCTCCTGCTTCGATGTGTCGTGGAGAGATGATCGCTCTCCTGGAGGATGTCGGTAACGGCCCTTGGCCAGTGGTCGTCAATGGCGAAACGTCGCGTCAATTGACTGTTGAAGTGCAGCGGCGATTCAGCTGTAGACAGCTTCGCAGCAGGCGTATTGGCCGTAGGCGCCCTGCTGTAGATATCGAAGGTCAAGGAGCTGTATCGTCGCCCGGGCTCATAACTGTCACCACGGAATTGAACAAAGTGGATTGATTGTTGTTAAGGTACAAAAGGAGACTTCCAGAAGTCCAAACGAAGGTAATTGGTCAGATCCAGCATCGGTAAGGAGTCTTACCGGGGCGATAACGACAGAACAAATGCATCAAATGAGGACTCCACATTTGGGATGAAAGTACTCCTGGGTCACAGAACAGAACCTTGCCTGATCGGCAACACTACACCATTCGGCTAGGAGGGCCACTAAGACTATAAAGGGAAGAGATGGCCGTCCTGCCCCCGCTCCGACCTTAGCGCCGAGGCTCCGATGGGCTCAGAGCGACACCAGAGCATCTAATCAGATGCGCTGATGATCTTATCAGATGCTATTTCGGCCAAAAAGGGCTTAACACTTGCGTTATTAGGTGGGGGATCAAGCTGGGATCATCGGCCACACACAGGGATGAGCTGTGCTGCCGAGATGATGTTGAAAATTTTATCAGATCCTCGCCTTTTCTTGCCCTGAGCTTCCCTCGTTCCTTGGCCCCCCAGCCGTGCCGTGACCTGGCACGCACGCCTCCTTCGGCCCCGGCATCGGATGGTCGCACGCGGGCATTATGCAGCCATTCTCAGGTCACATGTGTGCCAACGGCCCCTCCAAGCCCTGCTGTCCCTTTTGTCGATCGGCAAACGCATGTAGCTCCCTTATAAGCTCGTCTGGCCCTTCTGCAATCGGCTACACTTGCCTCGCTTCTCTTCGAGCTTCTGTCTCTGACGTTATTTTCTCACGGGATTTCATTCATTATTTCTCGTGCCTCACCCCGCGACGCCATCCCCTCATCATCATTCCCAGGGACAGCTTCGACCTGCATTCGACAGACGCGGTCCACACCACCCCACGGCATTCGATGAATTGATTTCCTTCCTGTGAGGCGACAATCCGGAGTCGGATTCTGACAACAAAACAATGGTTGTCACAGAGAAGCCTCTCGAGGCTCCCGTGCCGCCTTTGGTGGCGGGCCAACAAGATCGCGAGATGCTTCCCCAACAGCCTGCTGAGCCGACAGAGAAAAGCGACGCGACAAGCGTCAAGTCAAAGGATATCGAGCAGCCTGCCAGCGAGTCTGTACGTCAACCCACCTCTCATGCCAACCGCGCTTCATTGTTTCATCCCCAACGATGGCCAAAGCCATTGTCACCATGATCTGATCATTGTCGTTAGGTTTTTCACTCCCTCACCATCTACTTCCGCTGCCTCTTCGCCGCCGACCCAACATGGCTCGACATTACTCTCATCGTTGGTGGCTCCATATGTGCCGCTGCCGCCGGAACTCCGTTCCCCTTGATGGCGATTCTCTTCGGTCAGCTCGTCGATGACCTCAACGACGCTACTTGCGCCGCCGAAGCGCAGACCGCCGACCCCTTCGCCTATGCGTCCGATATCAACGAAAAGGTTCTCCTCATGGCCATCATTGCTATTGCAGCCTTCTGCCTCATCTACATCTACATCCTCGCCTGGGGCGTTATCAGCCAGCGCCTTGCCCAGCGTCTTCGCGTTCGCTACCTCGCTGCCCTTATGCGCCAGCCGCCTTCCTTTTTCGACGAGCGGGCCAACGCTGGCGAGGTCTCTAGCCGCCTCCACGGCGACATCACGGCCGTCCAGGCGGGTACCTCGGAGAAGGTTGGCATTTTCATCTCAAGCATCAGCTTCTTCGTTACCGCTTTCATTATTGCCTACATCAAGCAGGCGAAGCTTGCCGGTATGCTGACAGCCATGATCCCGGCCTTCATGCTCATGTCGGTGATTGGTGGTGCCTACTTTGCCAAGTATACGGCGCGCATGTCCACGGCCATCGGTACAGCATCGTCTCTGGCTGGCGAGTGCCTGCGGAACATTTCGGTCGTGCACGCCTTTGGAGCCGGCCCTCGGCTGGAAGCTCGTTTCGCCGACCTGATGCTCGAGGCTCGGGCCGCCGGCATCAAGAAAGCCGTCGTGGCTGCCATTCAGGCTGGCCTTTTGTACTTTATTGCTTATGCCGGCAACGCGTTGGCCTTCTGGCAGGGCAGCAAAATGATCGCCGAGACCAGAACAAACCCCAACGGCACCTCGATGGGTGATATTTACACTGTGGTTCTCCTGATTGTTGACGGTAAGCCCTCTTGCGCGGTGCGAATCAATGGAGTTTTCTGATATCCTTGTTAGCCTGCGTCATGCTCGGCGGTATTGCCCCTATTCTGCCCCTCTTCGGGGGTGCTTCGGCCGCGTTCCTCCGTCTCCAGCATGACATTGAGGCCCCTTCGACCCTCGATGCCACGTCGGACGCTGGCAAGATTCTGCCTGCCGAGAATGCCTCCTCGACTGGCATCTCCTTTAACAATGTCAGCTTCTCTTATCCTTCAAGACCCACGCAACCAGTTCTTCGCAACGTCAACCTGACGTTCCCTACCGGCAAATACACCGCCATTGTTGGTCTTTCCGGCAGCGGCAAGTCAACTATTGCCTCCCTGATCAGCCGTCTCTACGACCCGGGCGAGGGTTCCATCACGTACGACGGCCAAGATATTCGCAATATCAACCTTCGCAATCTTAGGAGCCACATGGGTTTCGTCCAGCAGGAACCTACCCTGCTCAACAGTTCCATCCTGACTAATATTGCCCTCGGTCTCGTCAACACGACCAAGCCTGCTCACGCTCACCTCAAGTCTTTCCTCAACTGGAACAACCTTACCGAGCTCGGCAACAAGGGCAAAGACCTCAGCGCTTCTGCTGAGGCCCTTGGTCCCGAAGCCGTCGAAATTGTCAAGCTCGTTCACGACGCTGCCGACCAGGCCGATGCCGCCAGCTTTATCGAGCGCCTCGAGAGCGGCTACGGCACCGTAGCTGGTCCCGGTGGTTCTCTCATCAGCGGTGGCCAGCGTCAGCGGATCGCGCTCGCTCAGGCACTCATCCGTGACCCCCAGATCCTAGTCCTTGACGAGGCCACTGCGGCCCTCGACTCTGCCAGCGAGCGCCGCATCCAGGAGGCTGTTGAGCGCGCCGCCAAGCACCGTACAGTCATCTCCATCGCCCACCGTCTGTCGACGATTCGCAAGGCAGACAACATTGTCGTCATGGAAGCCGGTCAGGTCGTCGAGCAGGGCTCCTACGCTGAGCTGATGGCCATTGAAGGCGGCGTGTTCGCCCGAATGGCCAGCCTGCAGTCTGTGGGCACTGTCGACCGTGGCGAGGGCAGCTCCATCTCCGGCGACTCTCTGGATGCCTCTACGCTCAAGACCGACATCTTCCCCTCGGAGAAGCTGGACCCTGCAGACCATATCCTGAGCAAGCAGTCCTCCGCCAAGGAAGCAACCGAAAAAGGCAAGGAGGAGGAGAAGGAGGAGGAAGAGCCCAGGACGGAGCTGGACACAAAGCAGCCCTTCTTCTTCGTCACCAAGGGACTCGGCCGCCTCGTTCGCCCGTCGCTGCTGTGGCTCGTGGGCGCCATCATCGCTGCCGCCATCGTTGGCTGCACGTTCTCCTCTGCTGGTGTCATTCTCGGTTACACTGTTGGTGCGCTGAACCCTTGCGCCAACACAGTCGAGCGCATCCTCGACCTCGGACGATTCTTTGCCGGCATGATCTTTATGCTGGCTTGCATTGAATTCTTCGCCAACTTTGTCGCGTGGTCCTTCTTTGGCGTCGTGGCTGAGAAGATGCTTTACGCTGTCCGCGTTCTCTCCTTCCGCTCCCTGCTCGAACAGGACCTCGACTGGCACCAGTCGGAGACGCCCACGAAGCTGCTGACGATCATCACCAAGGACAGTGCGGCCCTCGGCGGCTTCAGCGGCTCGACCATCGGCACAGTCTTTGCCATTGTCGTCAACTTCTTCATCGCCATTATCTTGTCGCACATCATCGCTTGGAAGATCGCCATCGTTTGTCTCGCCACCATCCCCCTCCTCCTCGGCGCCGGCATCATGCAGCTGCGCATGCTGGCTCGCTATGAAGAACGCCAGGCTGGCGCCTTTGCGGACGCGACGGCCGTTGCCGTCGAGGCTGTCCATTCGATCCGCACCATCGCGGCGCTGTCGCTCGAGGGTGAGATCATGGGCTCCTACACGCGCCTGCTCCGTGGACCGCAAAAGATGATCTTCCGCTCGTCGGCTTCGACCAACATCTGGCTCGCCATGCAGCACAGCATGGGCACGCTCATCTACTGTCTCTCGTACTGGTGGGGCTCCCAGCTCATCATGCGCGGCGAGTACAACCAGACGCAGTTCTTCATCATCCTCATCGCCATGCTCGTCAGCGCGCAGCTCTGGGGCACCATGTTCTCGCTGGCGCCCGAGTTCTCGAGGGCCCGCCTCGCTGTTTCGCGCATCCTGAACGTCATCAACCTCGGATCCGGCCGCGATCTCAGCAAGGCCCAGCTCAAGACGCTGCAGACGGCGCGCGAGAGCAAGACCGGCGGCGACAAGGGCGCCCCAAGCAGCGATGGTGCTGACGCCGAGGCCGCCAACGAAGTGCAGCTGAAGCAGCCTTTCAAGGGCGAGAGCCGTGGTGCCAAGGTCACGTTTAACAACGTCGGTTTCACATATCCAAACCGTCCTGACGTGCCTGTTCTCGATGGTGTCTCCTTCACTCTGCAGCCTGGTCAATTCTGCGGTAAGCACAATCATTTCGTTGCCTTTCAAAACGAAGAACGTGTAACTGACGCAATCTCCCCGCAGGCCTTGTCGGTCCCTCGGGTGCTGGTAAGAGTACTATCATGTCACTCGTCCAGCGACTCTACCACCCGACAACAGGCACCATTTCGCTCGACGGCCAGGACCTCAAGCCGCTGCCACCCTCGTTCCGCGAGTCCATCGCCCTGGTGCCACAGGACCCGACGCTCTTCGACGGCACTGTGCGCTTCAATGTCGGCCTAGGCGCCGCACCCGGCACCGAGGCCACGGATGCCGAGATTGAGGAGGCGTGCCGTCTTGCCAATATCCACGACACAATCATGGCGCTGCCTGACGGCTACGACAGCGAGTGCGGCGCCTCGGCACAGAGGCTCTCGGGTGGTCAGAGGCAGCGTCTCGCCATTGCGCGCGCCCTCGTGCGCAAGCCGAGGCTGCTGCTGCTCGACGAGAGCACGAGCGCGCTCGACGCCGCGAGTGAGGCGGCGCTGCAGGAGGGTCTCGAGAGGGCGTCGAGGGGCACCACTGTGCTGGCCATTACGCACAGGCTGCACACGGTGCAGAAGGCGGATGTCATCCTCATCGTCGAGGGCGGCAAGATTGTCGATCAGGGCCGCCACACGGAGCTCATGGAGAGGAGGGAGAGCTATCGCATCAACGCCATGCAGCAGATGCTGCAGTGAGGAGATTCAAGGTGCGGGATTTGTACTTGTTCGAGAGAAGATAGATCTGGCTTTTATGCCTTCATAATAGAGAGCGTTCATACTTTGCTTGGAAGGGCTGAATTGATTGTCCTGGTGTCAGACGGGCATTCTTCTGTCGCCGTCAAGGCGTTACGACAGCGCTCAGCTACGATGCACAAACGAAGGGGTTTTTCTATGAGTGGTGCAGCCGCCAACTACGTTTGAGGCTGTCCTGTGCGAAGCGTTGGCCAGATGCTTGGTTGATGCAATGCCTAACAGCCATGGGCAAAAACTAATGACAACAAGCTGAATAAGGCAAGACATAGGCACGATCAAAATTCAGCGCAATAGTTTCTGTTTTCGAACCAGACTATCAAGGAAAACACCCGATACACGTTACCTCGGCCGATCCGCCGTCGCCGCCCACCACAGGAGGGCCCTCAGCAATCTTCCTATGCGGGTGACGGCGAAAACCGCCAACTCCAACTGAGCCGTCAACTCAACAACCTCGATCATCCTCCACTAAAGCAGAGACCATTTGGTGACGGCCGTAAAGCTTTGGCGCCAGTGATCCCGATGATGGCTAGGGCTGCGGGTGGCCTAAGCCACAACACCAGTGCCGGCACGGGCCTTGACAAGGGCGCAGACGCACGAGGCTGGGTCAAGACTATTGAATGTTAGTAGAGATCTTCACTGTGCTCACGGCGATCCTTTGAGACTTACGTGTAGCTGTAAGGGGGCGAGTAAGAGCCCGTTTGGGTAATGTCAATGGGGCTGTTGGTGAAGAGGTTGTTTCTCTGGACGGCGAAGCCGGGCTCGTCGCTGTCGAGGTTCGTGACGATGGCCTGGTTCGTGTTGATGAAGACGGTGTTCTCGACGAGGACCTGGGCGCCCATGCGCGAGTTGACGCCGGACGTGGGGTTGTTCTCGTAGCACGAGCTGTAGATGTGGCCGGTGCCGAAGCGGATCGAGGGCAGGCGGGAGTTGACATTGTAAAAGTGGTTGTGATGGTAGGTGACGCGCAGCTTGCCGCGGTCCTCGGAGGCGTTGTTGTCGGAGTGACCGACGAGGGAGCCCTTCCAGTGGTCGTGGAACTTGTTCCAGCTGATGGTGATCTCATCCGAGGCGTGCGATGCGTCAAGGAGGCCGTCAAAGTAGTCCTTGTCGCCAACGATGCCATCGCTACGGAAGTCGCAGTGGTCAACCCATACGCGGGTTGCCTGGTCGAGAGACACAATGTCGCCACCAGGGATGGGGTTGTGGAAGACAAGGTTACGGATGATGACGTTGCCCGTGCGGCGGACACGGAAGCCGCCGTCACGGAGACCAGAGGAAGCACCGACACCGATGACACTCGTACCAGCCAGAAGGTCCATGCGGCCGCAGCCCGAAAGGATGCCGGAGATGCGGATGACGCCAGCGTTAGCAATGGCTGTCTTGAGGGCCGCACAAGAAGTGACAGTCACGCCGCTGCCGCTGCCACCACCCGTGGTGCCAGCACCGTAGCCGACGAGCTGGTCAATGGGAGCTGGTCCGCACGAGTTGCCACCGCTTGAAGGAGGAGGCGAACTGGGAGGGGGTGTGCTCGGAGGAGGAGTACTCGGAGGAGGAGTGCTTGGCGGCGGAGTGCTCGGGGGAGGGCTGCTCGGGGGAGGGCTGCTCGAGCTTGGGAGACACTGTGAGTACCACTGGTTAGACACCACACAGGTCCATCCTGTAGTCCATGTCAGCCTCAATAGTTTAAACAGCCCAAAGTTTCTGAAATATCAGGTGCACAAACCAGAGGTGCAAGTCGTCGGGCCGGTGTGGCCCTGTCCACCGCATTGGCCATAGGGCTGCTGTTGAGCAGAGGCCAGACCCAAAAAGGCCAGAAGGGCCAGGTTCTTCAGCTCCATTGCAAGGGTTGTGAAAGTTTGGGACGATGGGGGAGATCGTTGGGCTCGGGTGTCGGGTCGATCACGATTGCAGATCCTATGTGGGAAGACAATGTCGAGGTAAAGATCTACAGAAGAGGACTTCAACCCCATGGGCAGACACGGACTTTATGTCCTTCCTTGAGCTTGACCATCCTGTCAATTTTCCTCCCAGGCCACAGTGAATGCTGCGGATAATCTGATTGAGCGAGTTGTCCCATTCATCTATTTCTCATCGGATTTCCCACCACTCAAGACACCTCGGATCGTGATACTCCTTTGCCACTTTCTTCATTTTAATTTCAGGACTGGCAGATATTTCAGTCAAACATGTCCAGCAACCCCTCAACGAGGCAGTGCTGGAGTTTGTGGGTGTCTTGACCTACCACCGTTCAACAGCTCCGCATCCCGTCCAACACTACCTTCTTGGCATGTTCGGAAAACCTGGGGTTGCAAGCCAAAAGTTAAACGCGTGGAGAAACCTGCCATATGTTCGGGAGTTGTATCGGAGTTCCTCCCAATGCCGCCAATCGCCCCCTGCGGCTAGTCCGCAACGGCCTCGTGGGACTGTCTCCGTGTCCCGATCGGGGCCCGCAAACAAGTGCTGTTCACAGGGGAACTGCCCCGTCAAGTTACCCTCATCTCGGTTCTCGTCACGCCCTTAAGCCAGATTTGCTTCAGATAGAGTAGTGTAGCGCCTTCTGCCAATACCAAGACCCCAAATCGACCGCTGAGCTCCAAATGGGGGACGACGCCAAGAAGCGTTAAATAGTCGTTCCCCTCGGTCTTCTCTGACAAATATGTTGGTTCTTGCCTGCAAATGCCTCCCCGATTGCTGGCTTCACAAGGGACCCAGTCAGTCCACATAGAGCCGTCAGGATTATCTGGTTTGGATCTCGTGTTTGTTCATCGCTGATGGTGGGCGCAAGCCATGCTACACAAACCAGGTCTTCCTATGCAAACCATATTAGCTTTGGTTCGCCAGTGTTGCAAGGCGCCGAAAATGGCAACTCAGCACGGCAGGCAAGGCATCACAGGGTCGCATTTTAGTAGGTTCTCTCCCACAGATGCTCTCAGTTTGGTTCTCGATGACCTCAGCTGCAGGCGTCATTGGCGGAAATGTCTTCGACCAGCTCCGGGCACGCCACCAAAGGAGGCGACAACACTGGCATCTTCAGAAGCAGCAATCATTGAAAGGTTTGACGTCAACAATCATTTGCAAGATTCGGAATAGAACGAACCCTGATAGAACGGGAATTCTCACAGCACGCAAAGGTTTCGACAGCTGTACGCGCAGTCACCATGTTGATGGGGCCGATTTGGTCCTGTCGGGCCGGTCATTTCTGGGTTCGACATTCTCTCTGCTCGACCTCTTGTTTTGTTTTTCATTGGTCGGTTTCGCTGGCGAAAATGACCTGATGACGCCTTTCGCAGGTGAGGAGGCCAGCCCAGGAGAAAGTCTATCTGAGATGTGTTTACGCTGTAACAAAAGCAGGAGTATGGCATAGGTTGCCTTGTTCAGCGTTACCTTTTCTATAGGAAGCCAGATTGTCTTGCCAAAATCCAGTCATCCTATTCTTCTGTATACTAACAAGTTCAACGTCATTCTTCTTCGCACTACCCTGTACCTTGGCACTCACGGGATTGAACTGGCAATGCAGCATGGCCAGACTCGTGCTTTACCACGCATCGACAAATACAGAGACCAAAGGCACACGATGAATGCTTCTAGTTACACGTCTATGGATGAAAGAGCATTGCCACAGCTACTGCTCCGTTCTACATTCAAGCTTCTTGAGCCATCTCTTTTGTCAATGCATCTGACTTTGAGGACTGACGTACGTGCCAATGAGATAACCAGGCAACAAAGAAGCAGACGACCGCTGCTACAAGTAAAAGCGGAGCTACGTGTGCTATCTAAGGTACCTGAGTGGAAGGATGATCACAATGCCGTGCTGCTCTAAGATCTAACGGCAGGGCCTAGATCTGACTAGGTATGCCGCCCAAATAACACGTCAAGTGCCCAACCGAAATTAAAAGTACTTATCACCTCCAGCTCAAGTGCTGAAACAGGCTGGAATCAAAATCGTTCCCTCAACCTCATTGTCAGC